ATTTTACTGTAAGTGGCCAAAAGAAGCCATATAGCACCTTGAACACTTCGATGCTTAGATGTTTCTTCTGTTAGATGTTGTTATGGTTTGTGTTTAGATGTCCCCCCAAAGCCTCAAGCAGATGAGGTGGGCTTTTCTTTTTCAGAGGTAGTTGCATCTGGAATGTATGAGGCTGGGGTTAAGGGCGTGTGATTACTAAACCACTACATGTGAGTGATTAGTTTGGCACCGCCCTAATCCTGGTAGTCTGAATAAGATAAAAGGGGCAGAAAGATGTTGTTAAATCCTCTTGTTACCTTTGCTGCCTTGTGCATGCCATGTTGTTCCTCCTCTGTGAGGCCTATTTGCCATTTCTGTCTTGGAGTCAGCTGATTATGGACTGAAACCTCCATGAAATGTGAGCTAAATAAATCCCTTGTCCTGTAATTTGAGTGTTGAGTATTTTGTCTTAGCAACAAGAGAAAAGTAACTAACACAGATGTCCTAGTTGCTCTTAAGTTCTGTCTTCTATAAAGTCCCAGGGCATGGTCATGGTTAAGTTCCTTGACACTTTACAACAGAGACGACCTTTACTCCATATTTTATTACCTTGAAACCTCATCAGTCTATACTAGTGATGGCAAACCTTTTAGAACTTTCAATGATAAAGCCCGTGTGGCACACGAGCCATTGGTTCACCACTACTGGTCTATACTGTCCATATTTTCACCAGTCTTCTCTCATCACCACTTAAATAGAGTCCAAAATGTCTTAGACTTTCCCTATTACTCTCCTCTTCTAACCCTTGATGCAGTCATGGCATAGTCAGAAGCTGCCTTAGGAATTCGGGGAAAGGTAGAATCCTGGGCCCTTAAAAGCATGATTTTTGTTTTCTGATAGGACAGTCAGGGACTTAAAAGCCATTTTTATTCTGAACCATGACTCTTCACTTGGGCCTACAAATGACCAATAGATAACTAAAAGCAGAACAAAGCTTGACCTTCATTTTGTACCATTTGTTACTGTAAATCTTCAGTTAAATCCCTGCATATAGCTATGCTGATTCTTTAGGGAATGTCTGTCTAAGAGCTGGCCAGACAGGGTTGATTAGTCCAGAATTTACAGGAACTCATCCCCCTTCAAGACTGAGGACATCAAGATAAGAGGTTTACAGGGATGTTCAGGTGTATACAGAAGTCTTGGGCCATTGTCCCAAACCTGTGATCACCTGCATTCCAGGAAAAGTGGAGCCCCACATAAGCAAGGCCATTACAGACAGAAACACTTTTCCTAGGAACGAAACCATCCCTTAGCCATAAGATTCCAGAACTATGACACCAGGACTGCAATAATGATCAGCTGGACCCCAGCCCTCCGGCCAATTCCTGAAAGCTGGCCTCTCATTGTTGTGTGTGGGCCAGTTTGAACCCCTCCATCAGCGGGCTCCCTCCAGCCACCTAAACTGGAGTCCTTCTCTATCTTCCCTCTGACTTTCCAATGAAAGTTTTTTTTTTTTTCCTGTAAATTTGCACTTTAGTTTTAATTTCTATTTGTACTAAAGCAAGAACTCATGCTAGGCAGGAATGAGTTCACCACAATCACCCTTCAGACTTTAGTCAGGACAACACAGGCTACTCTCAGTATTCATTTCAAAACAGTTCCGGCCTCTACCCATTACCCAATTCCAGTTTTCAGTATTTGTTGTAGCAACAGCCTCGCCTCTCTGACCACTTTATGCAGAAATACAATCAGCCCTCTGCATTTGCAGGTTCTGAATCATGGGTTCCACCATCTGTGGATCAAAAATATTGAAAAACAACTTATTTGTAATGAACATGGAGAGACTTTTTTCTTCTCACTATTCCCCAAACAATTCAGTATAACAACTATTTACATAGTGTTCATATTGTCTTAAGTAATCTAGAGATGATTTAAAACATGTGGGAGGGTATGCATAGCTATATGCAAATACTGTACCATTTAATATAAGAGACTTGAATATTTGCAGATTTTGCTGTTCTGGGGCTGAAATCCTGGAATCAATCTCTACAAATACTTCGGAGTGACTATCTGTTGTTTTTTCCATTATTCATTGTAGATTACTTACTTCAAATATTAATCCCAATTTTGGTATGTTCACCAGTCCTAACATATGAAAAAGCCTAACCAGATTAGATTTTGAAATAGTTTCCTGGCAAGTGGAATGAAAGTAGGGGAGGGAGCCAGCCTGAACTCAAGTGAGACTTCGTCTCAAACAAAATAAATAAATAAGATGATAAAAAGATAAATCAGGAAAACAAATATATTCTGAGATAGCAAACTCTATCAGCATAAACAAAAAATATTAAGGACCTCCAAATTTCTTTTAAACTCTTAAAAATGCAATACTTTCAGAATTTAACTTATATTAATTCCTTAAAAATCCATAGCCCCACATCAAGTGGGTGGAGGACCCAGCACCCTGTATAGGGCCTGAGACTCTGACTAGGGAGACTGAAGATAAGCAGTCATTTATAGGGAAATGGATTCAGCTTGAATCAGACACATAAGCTCCAATATCATATGATTTCTCTTATATGAGAAGCCCAAGATATAAATAAAGAGCAAAATAAAAAATAAACAGTAGGAAACAGGAAGATAGATCTTTGGCAAATGTGAAGGGGACCAAGAGATGATGGGACAGGGGAGGCGAAGGGGACGTGAGAATGAAGCCGGTCATGTGCATGTACCCGCTCCCCAAATGTTGTACTCATTATGTACTGCAAACATGCACTAATACAAAAAGAAGAAACAGCATTGGACCAGCGTTCTGCAGGGCCTTTTTCGGGACCCTGAAAGTGGCTGTGTCCAGCCTGCACTTCCTACCTATCATCCCACAAAGAGGAACTGTCCCAGGAGCCTTTGCATGACTGTGAGTCTGCAGGGAAAAGCCTGGCCTTTTGGTCAACTGATCGTAAAGCAGAATCAGAAACAAGTGTACAGAGAGGCTAGAAAAAATCTTGGAGAAAGGAAGGGACTTGGGTCTAGAGGTCAAAGGTCAAGCGGACGGGGAGGGGGGCGTTGAGGGCGGGTCGGGTCTGGGCCAGAGTGGCCTGGCTGAGCACCAAACTGACCCATGGCTTCTCAAAGCGTGGCGGCAACACGGCCTGAGGACTTGTCACACACACCCCACCCCCGTACACCAAACCAGAGCACTGGGACTGAGGTCTAATGTCCTATGTGTTAATGAGCCCTTCAAGTGATTCTGGTGACTGCTACAGCCTGAGCAACTGGTTCAAGGGCATGCTGTTGAACACACGGAGGCCTCCCACAGCATCATTCAGCCAATGGTTTACCAGAGGGACCAGCTGCTGCAACAAGATTCCACAGGTAGTGGCAGAGAAACAATTTAATTTTTTTACAGTTCTGGAGGTCACAAGTCAAAAGTTAGACTGAATGGGCTAACATCCAGGTGTCAGAGGAAGTGGTTCCTTCTGGAGTCTCTCAGGGAAAAATCCATTCCCTTGCTTGTATCAGCTTCTAGACCCCAGTTCTTATCCTCTAGCTCCTGACCCATTCCCTTAACAGGCCCTACCTTGAAATCTCTCGCCACCATCACATTGCCTTGTGCCCCAATTCTTATTCCACTGCTTTCTTCTGAGGGCCTGTAAGGACAGTGGCCCCATTCAGAATACTACTATGCACACACTGAGTAACATGGGGGCATTTCCCCCCTCCATTATGCCCATCAGGAACTTCGGCTCCTCATCCATCTTACTGTCTGGCCTCCATCCACACTCCTGGGCAGAGGTGTCCCCTAGGACCCCTTGTCCATGTTCTGCACCCTGATGGCTTAAAACTTTGCATGCTCTATGTTCAACTCAACAAGGCAGCTGGCCACCCTGAAGACTCAGGCCCTATGCACCAGCTGGCTCTGCCTACCAGACACAGGGCAGACAAACCTTCAAGTGTGAGCATGCTTTTTACTTTTATTTGCAAGCCTATGGATTATCATTCCAGCAGAGGTAACCTGGTCTTTTCAGATGACCCAGTTATTCCAGACCTATGCTTGATGGAGGATTAGGAAGACAAATAATGGAAGATCCCTGCCTTTGAGTAAGAGCCAAGTAGAGATTACCAATATAGGTGTACCCAGGAATGGTGTGAGCACCATACCAAAGGTGCAAAGAGCTAAGGAAAAGACATCAGAGCCCATTAATTCTTTGTGGGAAAGTCACAGAAAGGAAAACAGAAATGACATTTAAGTTGGGTCTTATAGGACATACACGATTTTGCAATCTAACCCAAGCCATAGGAAGCCTTTGAGATGTACAAGACAACCGGAATGACAAGCCAGCTGTCAAGATAGGGCATCTTTTCTGCTTGTGAGAGGAGTGGCCCCGGCTGAAAAGACAAGGCTGGCTTATGAACGGCCTTGCTGGTTGTGAGGATGGTAAAGCTCTTCTATAGTCACAGATAGAAATGAGGGTCTTCAGGGAAGATCAGATTTGTATTGGCAACGTGACTCCATAGCAGCCGTGGGGCCCCTAATGAATGTAGCAGACATTCCTGACAATTTGAGAATCTCCAGAGCATCTCAGTGTACCACACATCCTCTCAGGATAGCTGCCTTGCTCTCCCTCCTCCTTCTGCCAGCTCCTCAGCCTGGGAAATTCCAAATTCTTGTTCCTCTGTTACACACAGCAGCTTCTTCATCTCACAAATTCTTGGGTCTCACCAGCATTCATGTATACAGAAGGCTTACTCTGATAATAAATAATTACCAAAACATTTTTCTAAATAAAACCCATCACCTTGCTAAGAGAAATTCTTTTATTCTTTAACCAGTTGTTAAAAGTAATGTTAAATTTTAGAAGTCTCATCACACAATGAGTTGTATATAATATCAGCAACATTCCAAATGTTTTATGGAAATTAGCTGTGAGTCATAATTATGCCTGAGAAACACCAGCTATTATTTTCACAATCATCTCAGCAATTCAGCATCCAAAGTAAAATAACTACAGGATACTTCATTAAACTTGTTTTAAAAAAAAGTTTATTTGTTACAAAATGTTAAATACTAAAGCTAAAAACATATAAATTCAGGTCAGCCTCTATTAAAATTACACACATGCCCTTCTTTGCAAAATCATTAAAGACTGAATTAAACAGATGCTTTAAATAAAATAAAGTACTCTTTGAGGACATTTGTGTCCAATTAGCTATAGCAATGTAGTGTAGTGTAGTGTAGTTTGTAAAATTATAGTTGGAAAGTTTAGCTACTGTGGAAATAAAATCTATCTAATTCTTCTGTCTTTTGCTACTACCCAGTGTGAAGCCACCATGCTGGTGTGGACAGGATGAACTTCAGTTACAACACTGCAAGTTCTCTATTACAAATCTAGGAACACAGGGTAGCCGGAAGTATACAAAGGGTTATGCAGCATGAAAACCTGGCCCCGAAAGAAAAGGCCTTAGTTCAAATATACATATCTTCTCTAGTTAAAATGATTGGGAAATATATTAAAGCAGAGATCAGCAAAAAGCCCACATCTATCTAGAAATAACTGGCCAATTGAAAATCCTTCCTGGAAACTAGCACTCATTTCTCCATGATAGTTTATAAGTCTTTCAAATTTTCTATTTTAAATTGAGTGAATTCAAAGAGTCTACATTCAATGAGTTCTAAGAGTAATTTGACTATATTTTAATTAACTTTGGAGAACTGAGGCATCTGGCTGAGTCACCCACACAGGTGGTAAAGAACTTTCCAAATAAAACCTACATCGCAACACCCAGGAGTACCAGCTTCCAAACTCAATTCCCACTCAGGCCAAACAACCAAAAAGAACTAGCTACTATTTAAATATTAAATAGTATTTTCAAGAAAATATTTTGTTTTGTAACTTGTATTTTTCCATTTTATAATTTTAAATGCTAAAATTAATTTAGGGATGAGAATGCACTTATGAAGATCAAAAGGCTACCGCTGCACTTTAAAAGTTCATAAATGTGAAGGAATTTCTAGAAATCTGCTATATTATCTATTCTTTACAATGCTAATCCTAGCTAAATGGGATTTGCTAATAGTCGATTACTTAAGTGATTAAAATACAAAAACCACAAAATGTATCCAAGTAATCTTCATTGACAATCCAAGTGAAAGCAGGTTTCCTGAAATATGTTTATAAGGAAGTTTTTACTCTTTCTTTTGATAGTATTGGTACACAAATAAGGGCTAACTGCATACAATCCTAATACTACAGCGTAAGATTGTTTAATCAAATATTAGAAAAGTTGGAAAAAATATGTGCATTTTAAAGTCACTGGAATTTAAAAGAATAACATATTCCAATATTAAATTACAGATGACAATGGTGTGGTCAATAAATACTAAGTAATCTGTTTTCTACCTTCAAGTTTGTGAGCTTCTGATATAATCATGTCTGTACATATGTGATAGGAGAGAAACTAATTCTGTCCTCTATCCCAGTACCATTTTCTCTACACATACCAAGTCTCTGATTTATATCCTTTTTAAACTTACTGGGTAACCTTAAAGGACAAGACTCAACCCACTCTATGTCAAATAGCCTGACAGTCCTGGCAAGAACTCAAACAACCCAAGCCACTGACACTGACTGCTAATCTTAGCAAATATACTTTAAACAGTTATTGATCCTTCATAGCAAATTCTTCAGAAAGCATCGTTTCCTGTGTGTGTCTTTATAAGTGTGTATTAAAGTCAAGATAGTCACTCTTCACAATATCCTGGATTTATAGCATGATCAAGAAAGTATTTATGAGGGGCCAGGGATTTAGCTCAGTGGTGCCACCACCTGCCTGGAAAGCTCAAAGTCCTGAGTTCGATCCCCGATACCAAAAAAAAAAAAAGTATTTGTTCATCAGCAACAGAGCCAGAACGGGGTTTTACAACTAAGCCAACACAAGGTGATTCTCAAGCGCCAAGGGAGGTGGCAGCAGCGGCCCTGCATGGTACAGACACCCCAAGAGCAGGAACCCCACTGTCCTCTCTCCCTCCGAGAGACAAGCTGCCCTAGATACCCTCGACACCAGTGCCTCTCTTCCGCTTTTAGAGAGAATGATGTTTGAGCAGTAAATACGGTATTTTTCCTGCCAGGAAATACAGATAATTTTCTGGGCCAAGTGTAAAGGGAAAACATGGGGCCCTTCTTCAAACATTATCAAGAATTTCACGACAGCCACAGCCAAGCACTGAAACAAGCACGAAGCCCTTCCAAGTGTGGAGCCAGCACTGGATGGGTTTCCTGCCTGGCCAGAAACCAGGGGAAGACAAGGAGATTTAGCTGGAGTGTCTAGATGAAAGAGAGTTTTGTTCATGATGTTGATTCAAACACTGACACTACTTTGGAACCAAGTAGCATGCCACTTTCAAAGTCTCAAATTTTCATTTCAAACATTTCAGGATGGACTGATTAGTCTTTTTTCCTCTAAATTGCTCACTGTAGAAATAGTTACATGGGGTCCTTCAATGGCCCTTATTTTAATGCAGCAACTAATCAGACATGATGAATGTCTATATTAATCCTAATTGAGTTTTTAAAAAATTTAAGCATTTCTTAACAGGGAGGTGGTCACCAAAGCAAGAGAACATCTGAAAGGGAAAACATAGCTGTACAACAGTTTTATATTCTAGAGTAAACCCTTAGTTTTAGTCTGTGTTATATTTTGTTCCCTTTTAAGAATACAGTTGTAGGTTTTTCAAAGAGAACTGATACACACATTAAGCTGATTTTTTTTTAACACCCATACTGTCATTCAGTCATAAGAATGTCACTGGAATCCAGCGCTATCCCATTCTTCATACTAATGAAACCATGTATGTATATAAAAGCTCCAGGTTACATTACTAAGCAACGACATTTCCGGGAGTGAATATACTTCCTGTATTCCGCAAGCTGCTTCAAGTACAAATTTGATGGCCACCTGTGTTTCTCAACAAAACTGCGTTCTTCCACTAAAATTTGAAGAGAAAGAATGTTAATTGATCATATTTTATTTTAGATCAAGTTAAGATAGTAACTGCTGATTTTCTACGTGATAGATGAAATCCAAGCTCTGGTATATCCCCCACTCTTCTCTGAAGCTTTCCAGAATCATCCAATACAATTTTGGTTAAATCAGTCATCGGCATTTATGCTATTACATGATTTATGATTACACACATCTTGTGCAATGCTTCATCAAGTCGTAGGTTATTATTTTCCTTTCTTTTCAATAAAACTTTAGTTTTTCCTGGAGATACAGACTCATTTTTTCCTGTTTAGTTATCTTTGTGGCTAACTCATCCTCCAAGCTCTGCAAAGTCCTCCTGGTTATGTTTCCTCCCCAGCACAGGACTCTGCCCAGCCTTGTGGTGCTGCCCAGCAGAGGTGGCCTTCTCTGCAGACCCCCACTCCCCTGGCTCTGTGGGTCCATCCGAGCCTTCATGCTGGGCCTTCCTTTCCTGGACTCCAGGGGCTTCACTTTATTCCTTAGTTTCGGGAAGCACAACCTTTATTCGCTTCTCAAAAAGAGGGTCTGAAAAGTACTTTTGAGATCCTGTTTATGACAAAATGTCTTTGGTTTATCCTCACTCATGATGTATAGTTTGGTCTGGTATGAAATTCCAGATCGAAAACCCCCCTCAAAACGTTGCTGACAGTACTCCAATGCCTTCTACTTTGCAAGGTTAAGAACTCCGCTGCCATTCAGATTCATAGTCCTGGGTAGGTGGGGTGTGTGTGTATATGTGTGCGTGTGTGTGTGTGTGCGCGCGTGTATTTAAGTCCTGGAAACTTAGATTTTTCTGTTTATACTTAGTGTTCATACATGAACCAATGTACCTTGTACATTCATTTAGTCCTCTCAATGTGTTGAGTTGGGTTCTCCAGTACTGGAATAACTTCCTTATATTATCTGATAAATTCCCTCCCATTGTTTTTCTATATGAACCTCTGTTACATACTGCATCTTCTAGACTAAGCCTCCAATTAAAAAAAAAAAAAAACAAAAGTCACTCTTCTGATCTTTGCTCCTCTAAGTTCATTTTTTTGTTGTTTGTATTTATTGTTTCATTCTTGGTACCTGTTTTTTTGTGTCAGCAATTGCTTTGAGTACTGTATCTGTTGACACCCATTGGTCTTCTCATAGTGAAGAGGAAGACACTGGAAATTTTGGAAACCTCTGAGGCACGGATGGAATATGCTGTAGCAGCTACACATACCCAAATGACTGGACATATGCACCTCCCTCTGAGGCCAGAGAAGGATGCTGCCACTTCATTCCCAGGGTAAGGGAGCCAAGCTGGCAAATACCAAGCTGCCGGAATTCTAGCACCTGGATAAGGGAAGGGAGCTGCATAATGTACACACTTACACAGAGTACCGAGTTTCAGTCAGCTCCTCACCCTGGATCTCAGCCATACCCGAAGCTCATGATTCTGTAAGCTTTGTATGCTTGAATTTCTTCAGAAATAAACTCCTATCTCCTGCAAAGATGGGGCACCACTTGCCTGTGTGTGTGGAGGGGACAGTAAAAGCTTTTTCATCGATATTCAACCAATTCCACTGTTTTCTTCTCCCTGCCTCTGAAACCTAGTGCCATCTAGGGCTTTTGAGGTCCTGCTGGGTGAAGCAGTTTGTTTTTCCCTTCAGTGTTCACTGAGGTTCCCTCCTGGTAAGTCAGTTTTCACTTCTCTACCTGCTGTTCTACTTCATCTATCGGAATCTGGATGAATAAGGCCCTACGCCAAGCTGTGCTGGCCTGGGTGAAAAGAACCGAGCTCCTTTGGGAAATGTGTTCTCTAAGTCTCACTAGGAAGCAGAGGTAACATGAGATGATTCCTCAGGTAAATTATCACAGATGAGCCCTGGCAGCCAGCAAAAAGAAAAACAAAAACCTCCATACCATATACTACTGAGCTAAATTAAACTAACTGTGAGAAAAATAAATCTATAGACACCAAGGATAACATATTCCTGTGTGTTGCTGGTTTCTTCAGAATCCAATATCTAAATATCTACATAATGAGCTATTTAACTGGGCTCTGAGGTATCCATGCCTGCACCGATGTGAGAACTTTTCCAGTTTCTCTGATTTCTAAACACCTCTAAAGACAAAAAAATTCTTAGTCAGAACAATCTGTAGAATTCCAATGGTAGTTTGATAACTTCTGTCACTGAGAATGGGCAATTCTACAAGGAAGCTGTAAGGAAATTGTGATAAGAACCCTTTGGAACCCTAAGTGACCGTGTGAGGTAGGCCAGGTGTGAGGTGGTGGAAAGGGAGGTGCCTGTGACGCCCTGCAGAGGACAGGCGTCTTCCAGGGTGGCCAGCACCCTGCTCCTGTGCTCTACGGCCGGCACTATGTGGAAAGATGGCCTTGGAGTCTCAGGTCTTCCGACTTTTCAAGAGGCCAGAAATCTAGAGTTCTAAAACACCATTACAAGAAGCGATTAAACTGTACAGTAGATATTTAATTTAAAAAGATGACAGTAAAAGACACTTTGCCATGAATCTCTGAGTACTTCCTCTCGCTTCAAACACACTTTGCCCATCATTCTTGCCACTTTCCGAAGCAGTTCCGGAAGATCTCTTTCGTGAGTGTCCTTACAAAGTCTGATCTAATACATCAATATTGTTAATCTCTTATTATTTTGTCATGAAATTTTGTTTTATTTAAAAAATACAGCAAACGCTGCTGCCGAATACCAGCCAAGGGAAAGGCAGGCTCGTAAAAACCTGATGTGTGTCCTCCTCCACCTTATTTACCAGATTGGGCACTGCGTGACTTCTGGCTACTCCCCAAAGTCAAAATGGCCATGAACGGGAAATGTTTTGAATTCATTCAGGACACTGAGGCAGCCACAACAGCACACCAAGGACATTAATGAGAGGGGATTTCCAGAATTGCTTCAGAAAGTGGCAAGAGCAGCGGAGTAAGTATTCTCAAGGTGAGGAGAAGTATTTTGGGGGAAAGTAATGGCAATACACCTTTTATTGTAATAATTTTAAAATTTTAAGCATTTACCATATTTTTCAATCATACCTCATAGTACTTCAAAATAAAAATTTTAAAATATGGTCCAAATAAAACCCCTTGACAGGCACACTGAATCCACAGACTGCCAGTTGTAACCACTGATTTAGAGCTTTCAATTCTCCCCAATCCAGGAGCTTTTTCTTCTGCTGAAGACTACACAGCGCAGTAGGCTGCCGACACCAAGGCGCCATGGGAAGAGAGCTCTGAGGGTGCCGCGCATTCCCAGACAGGAACAGGAGAAATCGATGCGGTGGCCTCCAGCCCTGGCTCCGCCACTCCCATAACTCCCAGCAGCCCTGCTTTTCACTATTACCACCTGGTCACCCCCATACTCCACAGGCAACTGTGTGAGTAATGAAACAGAGTCAAAACTGACAACCAAGAAAATTTAGAGAGCATCGTTCCTCTGGGTGTAAAGCTCAAATTAACAGCTTTTTTTTTTTTTAGGTACTGGGGATCGAACTCGGGTCCTTGTGCTTGCGCAGCAGGCTGCGAAACCACTGAGCTAAATCCCCGGCCCCTCCTCCGGGGTGTAACAGTACTCCATGCATGTCACACAAAATGTATACAAAATGTAAGTAGAAAATAATATTCTTCTTCTTTACAAATGAAGGTGACCTAATGTAGCATCGTGAAAATGACTGTAAAATGAAGATACAGATGTTAATTTTTATCGATTTCTCAAAGAATAGCTACATGAGAATGTCCCTACTGACGTAAAGCAGAAGCAGGCCTTAGCTTCATGAAGCCTTTGTTTTCCCTTGAGAAAACAGTTAATAGTGCCTCTTAACAGCTGAGCTCTAGTTGAGGCGCTTCCCATAGCACACAATGTTTACTGACTGGCTGAATATACCTGCTAACAATTGACCGCGTGTTTCCCTGCTTTCACACCTGTATGAATGGCTAAATAAAGAGATTTTCACAACTTTTACCAGTAGAATCTTTTTTACTTAGTAAAATTTTATGTAGAACTTGAAGACCTTCACATACCTCCTTGGAGATTTCTTTGTTGAGGGTATGAAAGTACTGACTAGGTACTCTATCACTGCCTTGCCCTTTTAGCTCAAATTTCTTTGAGTCTATGCTAGGTAATAACAAGAGCACCACTGCATCTAATTGTCTGATTAGCCTCACCGTCTACTGTGATGGCTCTTCTACTTGCATTTTTCTTCCACTTATGCAGTACTGGGAATCTCACCCTTTGGTTGGTTTTAATCTTTATAGTTTACCTTACAAATCACAATACATACACTTCTGAACAGCAAGTTTCACCATTAACAAAAAAATTATTATTCCAAAGTAATATATGGGACTCCTATAACAAATACTCTTCATAAATACAGATACCTCATAAATAAAACTGTATGTTATAAATAATAATCAAAATTTAAGTATTGTTTAAACGTTGCTTTTGACCTAGTGACAACCAAGATCTCATTTATCAAAATCAAATGTCACCCTAGGACATTTTTGCCACTTTTTATCTATTTTTTACAAATGCATTTAAAATTGAATGGGAGCTTTACATAATTATTAGAATACGTCTTGTGTGAGACAGGTCAAGCTGCTTATCTAACACAAGTGACTATAAATTAAAGTGTCCTCAATCCCCACATTGCATAATTTAAAAGATATGTATTACTCTGAGGATTACTGTGTTAAAGCAGTTTACAAATTATAACCTCAAATCTAAGAAAAAAGAACATAAAGGGTTTTTTTCCCCTACCTGAAAGATCCTGAAATTCAGGCTTTTGACTGAAGATGAGGTAGTTGGTGGCAATGAAATGAAGGAGCCAGGTTGAAAGGCAGTCAGAGTGGTGAAACTACAAGGAAAATGAAAAGGGAAACAATACTGTACACAAGGACCATCAGCATGCAGCTGGAGACAGGGGCTGGGCAGAAATCACAGACCCTGAGTCCGTGTTTATGTCTACACATAACGCTGTGAACTATTACAGCTACAGGAAGGAAACGGGAACATCACCAACAAATACTGATAAATATATTAATGAAGAAGAGAAACCAATGGTAAATAACGAGCTGCTGCTGCTGCTGCACGGCCAGTGTCTAAGCAGAGCCATGCATGCTAGCAACTGCTGGAGGTTCTTGGGGATTGTGTTTAAACTTTTCATCTAAGGCTTCGCTAACTACAATAGTAGGACAGGAAGATGATGGCAAGCAAGTCCTAATAAACAAGTGCACTGGAGGAGCGGATCGAAAAATATTTTGAGGAGGACACATCATTTGCCTAAGGGTGTGGGTGGCTGTGTCTATATTTCTACAAGAAAGTTATATCTGCATAGCTGCTTTTAATGGACACACTGTTACCCCGAGCTGGACTTCCTGTGTGACTCTTCTCATTCTGAGTTCCTGCCGCTGCTAGGAGAGGGGAACTCAGATCAATTGACCACTGACAGCACGACTTTGGTGCTACTTAGCATCATGGAGTCATCCAGCCCCCAGTCTGGGTTACAGTAACTTGCTGGTAGGAGACTTGGTACGTGACTATAGTTCTTTTATATTATTATTATTTTCATGGTGCAATACACATAATAGAAGACATTTAAATTACCCATGGGTGTACAGTTTAGTGGCATAGTAAATCTGTAAGCGTGCAACCAGAATCACTGTCCAGTTCTAGAAGTATTCTATCACCCCAACCTGAAACTTTGTACCTTTTAATCAATAACTCCCCAAATCCCCCACCTCCAGGTCCTGGTAACTACTATTCTACTTTCTGTCTCTATGGTTCTGACTACTCTTAACACTTAAATAAGTGGAACCATACAGCATCTGTTCCTTCTTCCCCTGACTTATTTCACTTAGCATAATGTCTTCCAAGGGTTACCCATATTGTAGCATACATCATCTAGACTAACATCCCGTGGTCTGTATACATTTTGGCTAAGTACAACTCTTCAGAAAACTCAAAAATGTTAAATAAGCAATGAGCGACACTAAACTGAAGAGAGCTATAATCTCAAATCTTAACAAAGAAGCTCAAGGATGAGAGCTTTTAAAATTTTATAACATACTTTCATGAATTACTACTGTTCAGTATGTGAAAGCAGAATTTTTGAGTTGGAAAAGATGTCGTGGTTCATCTAATCTCACGTCCCATTTTAACAGTCTTTTCTCCCCTATCTTTTAGGAGAGGAATGTGATCTCTTAGGAGCAAAGTAAGTAACTGCAGCTACTTTAACAGGCAGAGAGCCTACCTCCGGATCAGGACACTGCCTGGGGACTGTGGCTTTGCAAGGGAAAGGAGATCACAGGGACAAACAAGGAGCGATAGAAACATACTTCAAATGCAGAATTTTATTTCTGAGAAGATTTAAGATATCATCATGAGTGCTTGGCAAGGGATGGATCGCATCTCCTTGTAAAAAAAATACATCAAAAATAAAGTTATGAAAACACTAGAAAAAATGAAAAAGCATTTTTAAACTAAATTTGGAAGATGGCTACTTATTTATCTCAAGCTCAATGTGAATATATTACAAAGAGAGATGAGGGTTACTTGATTTCTAAATGTGTTTTTAATCTTAATATTGAATACATATGATTTTAAGATGATTATGAGAGAAATAAAGTCCAAAATAGTTATGGAGATAGTAAAGAAGGTGCAGATACTTTAAATGACTTCCCTTTGACCAGAAATATGCATGCTGACAGGGGGCAAGCTTTTAGGGGTCATGGAATTCTGTCCTTTGCCCCAGCATGTGCTCCAGCAACTTGGATGAAGACGAAGTTGCCATGCTTTTAAAATCCCGGATGTCAAAGCTGCCAGGAACAGATGGTATGTTGTATACCAGATCATATTTTAAGAAGTCCTGACATTGTGTAGTGCTGGATCAAAGATATTGCTGTGAAAAAGATCTAGAGGGGTCAAGTTCAATAACAGCAGTGGTGTGGCATAACCTCAAGTCCACAATGTCTCAGGTAGTGAATGGAAACGCAAATAACCAAAGGTCCCATCGTTGTATGATTCATCTGGGTAAGTCTTCTGTCCCCAGGATAAGAGTGACAAATAAGAGTGGCAATGATATGACTTTTTTTTTTTTTGTGGGGGTGGTGGTTCTGAGGATTGAACCCAGGGCCTTTGCACTGAGCTGCATTCCCAATGCCCTTTTTAAATTTTTCTATTTTGAGACAGAGCCTCCCTAAATTGCCCAGGTAAGACTCTTACAATCTTCCTGCTTCAGCCTCCCAAAGTGTCCTACCACTTGTGACTGGGGCTACATCTGAAGGTTTGAGAAGATTTCAAGACAGCAATCCTAGTTTATTCACAGTTCTTTGTCACATCTGTTATATTCTAGTGTCTCTGCAGATACAGTCACTCACAATTAATTTGTGTAGACTCCATCTGTTCCTTAAAATTAGCAGCAATGCAGTTTTATTAGTACATGTTTGCAGTACATGCAGTTTACAATCATCTTGGGAAGTGGGTACAGGTACATACCACAGCTTATTTCTTCCTTTCTAACTCCCTTCCCTTCCCTCCCTCCTCTTCTAAATCCTCTTTCCTCATTTTTGTTCTTGTTGATGTTATTGTTCTTATCTCATGTTTATGGCACATAATGCTTACATTCTTTGAGGTTATTAGGTTCCTGTACATGGCGTATCTTTATGATACTTACTTCCCCTTCTTCTCTCCTCTCATCCACATTTTCTTGGGCCCCTTCCCATTTGCAAGAGATCTATACCCTTGTCCCCTCCTATCCATCCTTCTGCATGCCCTGTTTGTGCTGTCATGCTCAAATGAGAGATACTACATAGTATTTAAGCTCATGTGTCTGATTTATTTCACACAACATTATATTTTCCAGGTGCATCCATTTTCCTTCAAATGTCTCAATTTTGCCCTTCTTTATAGCCAAAGTAGTATTCCATTATGTTTAGAAACCAGGGATTTAGCTCAGTGGTTCCAGTGCCTGCCTTGCAAGCAATAAGGTCCTGAGTTCGATCCCCGAAACCAAAAAAAAATAGGGCCGGCAATTTAGCTGAGTGGCTTCGCCGCCTGCTGCACAAGTACAAAAGCACAAGGACCCAAGTTCGATCCTTGGTGCCAAAAAAAAAAAAAAGAAACCACATTTTCTTTATCTAGTCATCTGTTGATGGGTATACAGGCTGCTTCCAGCTATTATGAACTGTGCTGCTATAAACACTGGTATGCACCTATAGTATAAGGTCTTTAGCTCTCTGGGGAAGATACATAGAGGGTGAAGAGCTGGGCCATATGGAATTTCTAATCTTAGTTCTTCAAAGAATTTGATTCCGATAATGGTTGTACTAGTTTACATTCCCACCAACAATGTGGGAGGGTTCCTTTTTCACCACAGCCACATTGGTATTTGTTATTTTTTGATTTCTTGATGATGGCCACTCTTTCTAGTGCAAGATGGGATCTCAGTGTTGTTTTAATTTGCATTTCTAATGGCCAGGGCTGTTGAGTATTTTTTCATATGGTTGTTGGCCATTTGCACGTCTTAAAAAACAAAGAAGTCCTCAACTTAGAAGAGGCCCAGGAGAACCAGTATGACATATTCCTCAATTTCAAACTTTTAAAAACTCTATTCCTAATTCAGTGAAACACACCAACAAAAGGCATTTTGCAAGAATAAATGAGGTACAATAATATCCCCTACACACACCTGGACCTTTAAAACATGCTCACAAAATGCATGAATGAAACAATAAGTCAGTTTAACCTAGCCATGCCCATCAGCATACATGGACCACCTGCCATTCTCCTTTCAGGAGCCTTGAGATGTGATCCTTCGGGGAAATTCCCTATAAACTCTGTTTCTTAGAACGCTTGTGTGACAGTGCAGTGCACTCTCAAATGACTCTGCTAAGGGCCACTGTGGGAAAAAACCCTCCATCTCTACCACTTAGAGGGGCACAAAGCAAAAACTCTAAGGTTTTAACACAGCCACAGAAACTTGAAGGAGCCGCATTTAATCAAACTTCCAAACTAAGGACAGAATTAATATCTATCTGTTTATTTTATTTTTTCCAGTACTAGGGATTGAACCTAGGGCATTTGCACTGAGCTACATCTCCAGCCATTGTTTTATTTTTTAAATTTTTTTTAAAATTCTGAGATGGGGTCTCACTAAGTTGCCAAGCTGCCCAGGTTCCCCAAACTTGCAATCCCTTGCCCCTCTCTTAAAAAACAAAGTATCAAAGGGATAGTATAAATTTTTATCATTGTTTTTACATCAGAAGAACCAGACCCACTGGGCCCATTACCTTGGCTTTCTTGAGCAGGTCAACGATGTCCAGGTTCATGGAGGCCAGCTCCCTGCTCGGCATGCTCTGCAGCTGCGTGACGATGAACAGCTCGCAGATGTGCTGCAGCCTGGACACCTGGTACATCTCCGCGCAGATCAGCAGGCACATGGCCTGGAAGATGCCAGCTGGGGAGAGGGACATAAGAAAACGCAGATGGTAAAGCCATGCCAGGCTGACCTAAACACACACACCAGAAACCACGCTGATGACATCTCCCAGCGTAGAATAAATGCCTAGAAACCTTGAGGCAGGCAGCAGTCTACACTGTAGCTATTTTGCGGGGAGTAAGGGAGTTGAGGCAGGACCTCACCATGTAGTTCAGGCTGGCCTTGAACTCACTATGCAGCCCAGGCTGGTCTTGAACTTGTGGTGATCCACCTTGGCATTCCGCCCGCCTTGGCCTCCTGAGTGCTGGGATTACAGATGTGCACCACCACAAAAGGTCCATTGAAGCCTTTACATCCGGAAGAGAATTGTTTTATAATCCTCCAGAGGAGCGATTCTGTAATTACCCTTCATAGAATCAATTCAGAGCTCTCAGGTAAAGGCTTCTGTTAGCAGAACCCTTGAAGATTTTCTTTTTTGGATACAGCCACCAGCCTGGTTTTTCTGTTTCGTTTTCATTGTGATAAAATAAATATAATCTAAACTTTACCATTTTCATCCTTTTTTTTTTTCAGTATTGGGAATTGGTCGGATGGGCACTCTACCACTGAGCTAACCCCAGCCTCTTTTCTTTTGTATTCTGAGACAGGGTCTGGCTAAGTTGCCCAGGTGGGACTTAATTTATGATCTTCCTGCCTCAGCCTCCCAAGTTCTGAGATTACAGGTCAGCGCCAAGTGCCCAACTTCACATCAATCATTTCAGGGTTACAGTTCAGTGTCACGAAGTACCTTCACTTTCCTGAGCGCCCACCTCTGCCACACATCCCTAGAACATTTTTTTTTCCATTTTGCTAAATTAAACGCCTACACCAGTGATGGCAAACCTTCTAGAGCTTTCAATAACAAGCGGCCTGCTGCAGCCCATGTGCCATAGGGTCCCCACCGCGGGGTCCGCACCTGTTACCCAGCAACTCTCCACTTCCCCGCCTTCCAGCCTCTGGCAGCCACCTCCATTTACTCCTCTTTTTTAAACACTGGTCCAGAAGTCTGTTCTTTCCTGTAATTCTCTTTCTTTTCCCTCCTCGAATTCCTTACATTCTTTTGCAGCAGTGGAACCAAGAGTACCGCGTATGGCAAACAGTTAATATAAAGAACATTCTGCAACTCTCCCAATGCGTATGTTCAGCTATTTGGCATAACTCTTTGCTCGTTTTGATTAATTTTCCCCATTGTACTTTTTAACCAACTTTTATAGTATTTCATTCTAGATTTATTGCTTTCCTGAGCACTTCTTCCTAATTAACGAGGTAAAACCTAAAATAAACAGGTTCACTTACTCAAATGAGATGATGAAAAACGAAATTTTCCTATTATTTTAAATCTGCTCAATTTTTTACTTAATATACAAATTTATGAATATTGAAAGAATAAGCCATTACATTTATTTCCACTAAGAACAAATGCTTTCATTTTTCTTAAGCAAAAGAGAAAAGCCAATCTTTAACACCGTAACATCTGGCTCCAAAACACTCTATGACTAGCTGCAAGACCAGAATTAATTCAGTTTAAAAAGGATTATTCTTTTTTGGAACTTCAAAAACTTTTCACTAGAGGGCTCATGGCTTGTATGAAGCTTATTTCAATAACACACGCAGGAAATCTTCCCAGTCTAAAAATTATAGCAGTGAATCTGAAGAGAGGCATGGTCTGAAATGTGTTTTCTTTTTACATTTGCCAGGGTGCTGGCCAGGTTTTGTAATCAGGGTCTCGGGCCTTGGGCCTAGGTAGGCAAACTACATGGGAGATAATCTAGCTCTGTTTGTGACCGACGCCACCTGGTGGCCAAAGGGTGAAGAATAACGAAAGGGCTTTTCGCGCCTGTACCACGAGGCTCTCGGCCTGTTTGTTGAAGAGATTTTGCTCTTTCTCCAGGGAACCTTGAGCTAAAGGAAATGTGCAAGATCTGTTCCAACCTGTAGCTGCGAAAGATAGTTGGTTCCTAGTCAAAGATAGTCTCTGGCCAGTGAATGTGGAAATAAATCCAAAAGTCTTCGTAAGTCAGTATAATAACAATCTGACTTCAGAAGTCAGAAGGATTCTTTAAAAGTCTGTATCCTCTGGCCAGAAAGAAACAAGGGTGTTGTCTGCCTGTAGAAAGCCCTTGAAAATGCCCCAGTGAGAAGTTAGACATAAGAGCAGTTATCCAGCCCTCTTCTGTGTTAGAGAGAAGGGTCCTGTGCTCCATAAAGCCCTTTGCCCCAATCTCTAGAATTAGCCCCTGGGTAGCCCCAGATGGCTCCGTTTGTGGAGTGCCTTCGCGGATCACCACATGTTGGCACTGGATGAGGCAAACATGGAAACTTATGCCAGAGTCTGACAGCCCACAGTGGCTCCCAATCATTACGTGAAAACAGATTTCACAGAAAGCAACTTACCAAAATAGCGTCAAGGATAGAAAGAATTGTGAGATATTACATAGAATACTGCTCACCTGGGCAACAGGAGTCTGTGTATAGGTATTCTAAAAACGACAAGAAAGTCTCTTTGGACACACCGTACACTGGAATCAGGACACTCTTTGCTTCCATGTAATTACCATTAAACATGGCCGCCATCACTTCACAGCGGGCCACCAGGATGGCCCTGTGGGCTGGCACTGTCGTACCTAACAGGCGCAAAAGGAAATCAGAGGCAAGTAAGGCAGACTTGCACAGTTACTATGCTGGCAGTTCCCTAGTGTGGTACTGCGTTAGGCACAGCTAATCTGATGGGCAGAAACCAAAATTTCGGGTGGTGACCAACTTCACTCCAGAGACTCCTCAGTTTTAAGTTGAACAATAAAGAGAATTCAAAAGTTGACTCTGAATCTAACAATTTGCAAACCAGGCAAGCATTTGTTATTTAACTTATATTTTTTTTCTTTTTCTTTTTTTTTTTTTGGTACCGGGGATCAAACTCCAGACCTTATGCTCTCAAGGCAGGCAGCAGCACCACTGAGCTAAATCCCAGGCCCCTAACTTACATTCCCTAAAGGTAGAAACACTGAAATAGTACATTTTGGTTTATGTTTTTATAATGAAACCTCTCTCCTTTCTAATTGGCTTGAATTACCACCATGCGGCCCATCATTCTCCCATGAAAACAACCTATGACCCCCTCTTGGCCAAACTGACAGAACAGACTTGGCCATTGGTTTGGATCTAAATGCCCCTCAAAGCCGCGTGCTCTCATGCAGGGCTTCTGAACAGTGACTGGATCATGGTGGCGCAGAGCTGACTTGTTAGGAGGTGGGTCACTGTGGCTGTGACCTGGAACGGTGCGTCTCCCTTCCCTGGTGCTTTCTTGTTTGCTTCCTGGCTGCCCTGATGTGAGCAGCTTTTCTCTGCCCAGGCCCTTCTCCCATGGCCTTCCTGCCTTGGAGCAGCCAACCACGGACTGAAAACATGAGCCAAAATATACCTCTCCTCTAAAAACATACTTCTCCTCAATCTCCTCTCTATCGTGGGTGTAGCATATTGTGCCCCAGGAATAAAAAAGTGACTAAGACACCAGGCTTCCCCACATCAGAAACAGGAAACTGTGAGGAGTAAACCATGGGCAGTCCATACCTCACAGCAGGAATAGCAAGAAAACTGTGCAGCCAAGGAGAGCATTTTGCATGTTAGAAAAGAGTGGAAGGAGATGTCCTCAGTCCCTGCTGTTTCCCAGCACAATGTGACCCTAGAAAATTTACACTCTTCCACATGAAAAGCACTGTCTTCCATGTAATTACCATTACACATGGCCTTTGATCTTCAAGGCTGCCTAACCCCACACCCCACACTGAAGCTCACCAGACTAAACTGACCCTTTTGGGAAAGCTAAGCTCTCCAGCTACTGCACCACCACACAAAGAAGTGCAGATGGGGACACAGGTGGCCTGGGACTCATAAGGTGGTGAAGCAGTTCTTACCTACGTAGACCACACTGCCAGCCTTCCAGTCAGCCTAGGTCCATGCTGCAGATCATTATCAAACACCCACCACGCATCAAAGGTACAAAGATGGGGAAAGCAAAACACCCTTGCTTTGCAACAGGACACCACTGCTGGGGGTGTGACATGGCTGTCCCCTTCCAGAAAACAACGCAGTGAACCAGAGCCCTCTGCCCTGCCCACGAATTTGCCTACATACCCCTAAAATCTCAAAAATATTGGCTCTACGGTCTTCCCTACAATATTTACAATTACTGTGTTCTTTATCTCTCTTTAACCCAAACAAAACATCTCTTGGTTCAGGGAAGAGCTCTATCTGAGCCCAGTGGTTGGCTCTGCGATGTGCACAGCCACACAGCCCAAGAGGCCAGAAAGCAGTTTCAAGGAGCACCCACCCTACCCAGTACACACCAGCACACCGGGTATATTTGTAGACAGCAATTAACGAGAAATTCAAACAGGTAATGCAGTTCGATTGATACTGTTAAGGTTTTAAACTATTCAAGATAAATAGGGTATCCTTTTTTAAAAAATGAAAAATAAACCTTAAACAAACTAGATGATCCAATGTGTGAATTAAGACTGACTAAAACTCCCAAGTAGATAGTAGGTGGAGGTGGAATTTGATAAGCAGACCTTGAAATTTTAGCAGAAACTTCTGCTGATATTACAACAGTGTTACAAACAAGCAACAAAACACTCATTGTCTGAGGCAATTTTAAACCCATGTTAAGCAGGGAATTTAGTCTGGAAAACCATGACATTTCCAGTTAAGAAGACAGCAACTTCTGTTACTTAGCTCTTTACTATTTTGGTTTTATAACTCTTTGTGCTGTGAAATGTAATATAATAACCCCAGTATAGTTACACTTCTAACACTGCAAATAAAAATACTTGCTGAAAGAAAATAAAGCAGTGTTTCTGTACAAACTAGCAAAAAAAGACACCAATTTTCTAGTTAAAAGATAAATATGTACCCCGAAAATGTTAAGGCCAAACTACTTTCTCTTTGTAGTATTCATTTGATGTTACAGTTTTAAGAATATTTTCTGAGGAAAAGAGTATTAAGAATGAAACAAAATCTAAAAGCTCAAGTGTTTTAGTCACTTTACATGGAGTCATGTATTACAATAAAATATTTGCATTTGTCATGCCTTCTTCAAATACATTGCATGTTTCAAAAGTGAAATTTTTACAATTACATTTGATTTCACTCTGAAAAAAGGAAATGTATCTGCGTATATCGTAGATGGGTTGAGTTCCCTCAAATTGATTCAGGACAGCAAGGCCTCCAGAGAGTGACTGTACTCACCTGGAGAGAGGTTGTGAATATGCACTATGTAAGTGGAACAGGAAAAGAATTCTGTAAAAGAACTTTTTGTGTGACACAGATTCAGATAGGAAACGCCTATCCTTCCACATCATGTGTAAATATGTATTTGCCAAGCCTTGCTTTAGGGTTATTCTGCTATAGTAACTTTAAAAAAAAAAATAAATCCAAACAAATTACAGGTGGCAGTGAAAATAATATATATCCGAAGGCCCGCTGTTACACAGCGATAGTATCGCATGTTAGAGTTCTGCATTCCAGTCAGCTCCAGCTGGTTGATGGGGGCGGCCGGGAACATTGCACGCAGATTCGCTGTGGTGCCTGGATTCAACAGGAAGAAATCCAGGGGCTTCCGGGCAGGCCCGCAGGCTGCAGGCCGGGTGCCACTCATCCTCCCTAGGCACCACCTCCAGCCCTGTCACCAGCCCACGAGGCAGAAAACACAATCCTCATTTACAGGTGAGGAAACAAAGATGCTCCACACTGTGAATGGGAAATTTCTGTTACCACGTCAACATTACTTATCAAATTCCATGCGCATGGACTGTCCACTTGGGATTTTAGGTCAACCTTAAAGGATCAGAAAGGGCTGTGACACGGCCAAATCTCTGCAGTCAGTAAGTCCACATCCCAGCAAAGATCCCAGCCGGTCTTCCCGGCCCGGGTCGCCATGGCCTCAGGAACGCCTATCATGGATCGGCTCTGCTCCAAGTCGTCCCAGCGCCTCTGTCCTCCTCTGCATTTCCCCTAGCCTTGTATCAAGTTGAGTGGAACTGGTCCTCAAAACCAGAGGGAAGAAGTCAAAGATTCATCACATGGGACTTCAGATTTACTATTATTGTGTGAAGCAAACGAGTATTTAATTTTTAAATCATCTTGTTTGTCACTTCACATAAATTTATATAAAGGATACCAAAGTTATACTCAGCTGTGAATTATTTCACAAATACAAATCTTTCAGGATATGTATTTTTCACTAAAAGTATTCTAGGTAAAGTTGTACAGAAAAACTTGAAAGTTTCAGACTTCACTATAACTTTAAAAATTTTTATAATTAAGATTTGAGATAGGTTATTATCCAGACATTACTCTAAGGATCTGGCTTAAGTCAAAGAGCAATCATTTCAAATATAAGAACACTTCACTTCTTCATTCTTGATGTAAGACATTTTAATTACATTAGCCAGTTTTTCACAGTGACATTAAAATGTGACTGCCTAGTAATAATTTAACTACAACTAGAATCCATAGGCCCAAATGTGGTCACACTGAGAGGCATTAGTATGACCTCAACAGCATATCTTCAGTGCCTACTATAAATTGTCAGAGAATGACAAGAAAATACAATGGGATTCCTGGGAGAATGTGCTCTGACGCTTTAAAGAGAGCAACAGCTATGACTAAACCATGGTGAAATCCATCGACTTGTTCCAGTTGCACTGGCCAGCTGTCTCAAGCACATTCTTCAGTGTACATGTTGGAGTTAGGTGCAAATCTCTGCTCTGTCATCACTAGGCAACAAGGGCTATAAATGACAATCAAAAATACCAGGCAAGTGCCAGACACCAGCACTACACATAGCACTGCTTCAGCGCTTGATCTGTCATATATGATGTCTGTGGAATGCCACCAGAATCAGGGCAACTACTACATTATATGTGCTGTACTAACAATAATCACCATGAAAATGTCTCAAGACCAAAAGGTTCAATGGATCAGAACAGATTTGGCTTTTAATTTGCATAATCTGGGCTTTTCATTGCAGATTCGAGTATTAAAAAAACACAGGCATGTTAAATTTCAGGGAAAGAGGACAGAGGATGGAATGGGAAAGAGAAGGCGATCAAAATTGATCACGATACAATACATATGAACCAATTCCCCTGAATGAATTTATTATGTTTCAAATATATACCAACAAACCCCACAAAAAGGAAAAACATTTGCGATATAAGCATACCTAATGCTGACAAAGCTATGTTAGGGTAAGCACTCTTATGCACTGCCAGTAGGAATGTAAAATGGTGTAGTCTTTTTGGAGACATACAATTTAATAGCAAATATTGACTCTTACAGATGTTATTTCCTTTGATTAACAATCTAACCAAGGAAGTAATTGTAATTTCAGAGTGAAATATTTACACTTAAATCTTCCAATGTAGCTGTTATTTGTAATAATGAAAATTTAAGATATACCTAAATTTGTAAAAAAGAAGATAAAACTATATAATGACATTTGAAATGTTAAGTTTTTAATACTATGTAAAATGATTATGGCACAAGTTTAAAAATGAAGGATATTCAATTGGGAAAACAGTATTTATTACCTAGTTCCCTCTACTTTTTGTTCATTTGTTCTGTTTTATTTTTTGGTACTAGGATTGAGTCCAACACCTTTACACTGGACTACACCCCTACCCCCGTCTGTTTGCTTGTTTGCTTGTTTATTTAAATTTTGAAATAGTGTCTCACTAAGTTGCCCAGGCTGGGCTTGAACTTGTGACCCTCCTGTCTCAGCCTCCCAGAGCGCTGGGATTACAGTTATGTACCACCACACCCAGCTCCTAGTCCCCTTTTTTAAACAGAGGAAAACCAGCAAATATGCCAAAAATCAACCACTGGACATCACTGGAGAACAAAATTATGAGTAATTTTTTTGCATCTTTATATATTACCTTGACTATCCTACAATAAGCACTTACAGCATTTTTCTAATCACTACTATCCCCCTGATTTTCTAAATATAACCACTGCTCGTCATATAGTCTATACCCCTGCTGACCCTTTTATACATTTTTGAACAAAACAGACGTATTTTCTGTAAGTGAGATAATTATGTGTACAGTGGCCTATAGCAATCATACATGACTTTCACAATCAGAATGAAATAATAAGTTTCTTCGTGAATATATATCCAGCCATCTGTTACTCAGGGACATGCAGGAGGCCAGTGATTTCTCTAAGCACTCCACTCCTCCCTTACCACTGGAGAAGCTGAGCCGACTGCCAATGTGACCACAACCAAGTGTGTTCAACCCTGCTCCATTCCATGCAGTGGGAGCTGGGACTCAGGCCCCAGGCTCAGCCTCCAGCACCCACCACCCTCCCGATTGGCCTCCCCTGCAGCTGTCAGTGGAGAAACTGTGGCCAGATCCTGCTTCTACCCATTCCTGTTCCTCTCTGCTCCCAATTTGGTTTTTGATCTGGGAAGACTGTGAAAAGGCTCACAGCAGCCACTGCACATTCTCAGGACAAGGAGCCCTTGAGTCCTTCTGATTCTGCCCATTCCTGACCCAGCCTTCCTGAACCTGTGGGGTGTGCACAGGTGCAACAAAAGAGAAGGTCAGTAGGTGAAATAATGGAAGAAAAGCAAGAACTCCGAGGAGAAAGGATGCTCTGTTTTCTTTTAATTAACACATAACATGCATTGTGTACTCATTCCTGTTGACACCCATTTCAGTAGGTTACACTGACGTAATGCTTGGTGTCAATGCATTCTATGCTAATTATAAGCAGGTGTTAATGTCTGCTATGCACATTTGGCAGCTATGCTATAGCACAACAGAGAAAAGGTGGGGATAGGAGTTAATTCCAAATCGGTGAAATCTATGATGGGGCCATAAATTCATATCGTGCTTACTTGGGAGGCTGCTCTCAAACTGTGCTACATAAATAACATCGCCGGCAGAGACAACTTTCTCCTCTCATTCGCTCATCACTAGGCAAAGTCTTCTTGAAGGGCATTTATGCTTCAGATTCTGATTCCCAATTTCAGGACCATTCATCTCATTACCAACAGCCACTTATTAAAGGCAAGTCGTTGTTCTGGGGACCATAGGGGACATAAAGATGTAATAACACAGATCCTTCCTTAGTGGACTGAGTTTTCTCCAAAACTAGAGCTATAGTTTATTTCTCATAATGTACACATACACATACACACACACACACACACACACACACACAAACACACACAAATGAGTTTCTCCTTTGGAAATAAACCCAAGATTCTATCTGTATATAAATGTCTGAGAGGTTTGAAAACATCAAAAACTTCAATCAAGGAGACCTAGGTGACCAAAAAAAACACCCAAAAGACAAGAACGTCTGAGGACTAGAACCTGATTACGACCTAAGCCATCACCTATGCGACTATACTGACTGATTTGTATCAAATACTGTGTGTGTGGTAAGAAGAGGGCGGTCAGCTGGGCCACACGGGGATAGCAGTAAAGCAGACATACTGGATCTTGTAAGATTTCCCTCACCTTAAAATGGCTGCTACATAAAATGGCAGCCTTCTCCTTCCCATAATACCTTGCTTCCCACTTAAAAATATGGCTTCACCCGCCAAAAGACAACGTTCTTCTTTCCAACATGCCCCTCTTCCCGCCAAAAGAATAACCTGATACTTGCTACCTCCTAGCAACTAGTGATTTTACAGGCTCCTCCAATCCTTAGCCACTACTTCACTCAACCCCACCCCAGCTCCTCTAAGAAGCACTCCCTGTCCTGGCCATATTGCTCTCTCTCTTTTGTTTGGAGACAGCCCGGCAGATAGTCCCTACAATAAAGGCTTGTTGTGGTTCTGGTCTGGTCTTGATTTTCGGCTCTTTTACCTGACAGATCTGACTGAGACACTGCTCTCCTCCCTCACAAGGGAAGGCATTCCAAGCACTCACAGAGCCCAGGAGAGAGTGCACTAGAAGCGGAAGCTGCTCTTGTATGTTCACCACATGGCCTTCCCATCACTACCTCTTTCCTCTTAGGAAAAGCCCACCCTGGACTGTCAGAGTCCCTGGAATGGTTTGCCACTACCTTATCTTCAGCTTTTGAAGTCTGCTCAGCAGGAAGTCAAGCCTAAAACATGGCAACAGCTGAAGGACAGCCTTCCCTGCCCCACAGGAAGTCATGTGGAAAAGAGCACCAGGCACTTCTGCCAGAATACAGACACTGTTATTCCAACTTTCTAAAATAGATTTTTAAAAATCCATTTTGGAAAGATAGAAATAATTGTTTTATTTGTGAATCATATTTCTTCTCAACAATGGGTGTAGTCTTTTCTGTTGGAATGTGAAGCTTCTTAGATGATTCGTAAAAAATTATGTATCCTATATTTCTTTTATATGGACACACTGTACCAAGCACTTTTCGTAATCACTTTCAGCAAGAGATGTTTTTCCCCCTAGAAGCTAATAAGGAAATTCTGTAATCACCAGGGCCTTTGTTACTGACAAGACTTACTCCACCTATCATAAATAATTTATGGCAGCTGGCTTTAGATCTACATTTTGGGGTTTTATTTTAGCATCGGATAAATCAAGGTGTAATAGTGTTATGGGTTGAGTCAGAGTCAGCTTTAGGTTTCTCTAACATGATGAAGGGTTGGAGAAAGTATAACTTCTTGTTAGCTTTTTTCTTTCCAATCATTTTTTGTATATCTCAAGGTCACTCATACTGTCCCATCTTGAGTGTGCCCAGGGTCACACTGCAGAAGGTGCTGATGGTAGCTCTGGAAAGTACTTTGGAAAATTCCCAATTCCCTGTTTGTCTTGGCAAGTGACCAAGTATAAAAGCAAAATGAACCTTTCTTGGGAAAAATGTTTAAAAGTAAATGACTATGTCACCTGCTATACATTTCTACCCTAACATTAGAATTATATCTTCTTCTCTGTCACAGTCCCTCTAAAGTTCTACTTAATTTATTTGGAAGCAACTCATTCTACCCTTCCTGCATAATTGAAGGCATCTCACAACTCATTTTTAAGATTATGCTTTTAGTCTACTAAAGTGACAAAATTATCTATGTCAGTAATCAACAATGGGCATTACAACAGCTCATCTTTATTAAAATTAGATTAGCAGTACTTTCCCATGGAGATAAAAGCAGCTTTCAGTTGCTCTGCTGGTAGCAATTCTGAATGCTCGCTGTGAGAAATCAATGTAGCAATATCTGTGGGCATCTGGGGTAGGCCAGGCATAACCCTCAACTCACAGTTAGTTTCTTTCACTCAAATAAAGAGAGATAGGATCTGTTTTCAGATGAACAAAAAACTAGAATCTTAAAGAAATACACAAACAAAAAAATATATGTCAGATCACCCCATCCTTTGTTGATCCCCCAAAATTAATGAATTACACAGTAAGGGGAGGAGAAAAATATGAAGCAAAATATAAATAACTTTTTTTATTTTTATAAACTACTTCACTTCCCTGAATTTTGTTGAAATTCGGGTGCTATTAATCTGTCTTGCAACAGTCATTCTTTCACCCTAAGTATCAGAAACTGAGGAAAACAACAAGAAATAAAAATACAGAAGGAAGTTTGTGAAAATTGAGCCATACCTTGTATTTCGAAGACAACATCAGCAAGCATCGGTTTATTCAGGAAAAACTTGAGGGAAGTGTTATAAAACCACAGAGGTTTTCTGGCTTGGTAAGTTTTGCAATTCCTTAGGCAATTAATCTATAAGAAAAATAAAAAAGACAGACCCAAGGGGGAAGGTTGGCCAGTACCCTTTGATACGGTTTGAGAACCTGGAAACTGTAAACTCTTTGAAGAAATAATGACACCTACTCAGTGGCAAATCTGATGACAGCTTTCAAGGAAACTCACCCTCTGGCCCCACAGCTGCCACCATCAAAGAGCAGCACCCACCCCCCAGCATTAGCAGCAGCACAGGAGCTGGGCGAGAGCAAACTCTACCACACAGCTGAGAAGCTGCAGGACCCAGAGTTCCTGCACACAAGTCCAATCTCACACGAATACCTAATAAAATACATTTACACACACCTCCTGACTTCCTTGGCGGGGACTGAAACCAGAACTTTTGCACTGAGCTACTTTCCCCAGCCCTTTTTTACTTTGAGACAGGGTCTCACTAAACTGCTAAATTGCCCAGGCTGGGCTTGAACCTGTGATCTTTCTGCCTCAGCCTCTCAGAGTGCTAGGACTGATCATAAGTGTGTGCCACTATGCCAGGTTATCCCATCTGATTTTTCATTAAGAAAGTATATAGACAACAAGTTAATATGCAATTAAGAAAAATACATTATCTCCTTATCACACGTCCTTTTACTGCCTAGTAGCTCAACATTTTCTGCTAAAGGAATGAACACGAAAAAAAATACCTGAGTGTGATGGTAAACTGGCTCTTCTCCAGCTTAACTGTCAATCTTATAATGATCCCAGCTAGGTTTTCTATACCGAAGCCTAGAGAAAGCAGCAGCAGTCTCTGGCCTGGGAACACCTCTCCCCTCCCATCCTGTCGCTCCTGTTTGCTCCAGTGGGCAGCCTCTGGGGACAGAGCCTCTGTCCCTTTCAGGCTGTGGTGCTCTGCTTATCCTTGCTGTGGCCTTTCCAGATGTCCCTTGGCCCAGCCCTAGCAGTTGAGGGCAGCCTTCCTTTCCTCACCCTCCACCCATTTCTTTTCTTTATATTTACTCTAATTTATTTACAATGAGTAGGAGAAAAATGCAGGAACAATACTTGCAAGTAGAGTTGCCCACAAGATGAAGAAATAATAAGTCATTTTAAGTAGTATCTGGATTCATCAGGACTGTGACCTTATAATGAGGATCATTATTTTACTCCTTCCTGATGGCTCCACCCACTTCCCTGGCAGAATCTCAGAACCTCAGTCCTGGTCAGAACTCTGACCCTCTGCCTCACCAGCTAGGGAGATCAGAAAACTTTATCCCTAAGGAATAATCAGATATACTTTATCAATAAGAACAAATGACACCTGCTCCCCATTCTCAACTAATCTACTATGGTGGGAATTTTTAAATCTCTACAGGGAGAGGGATGATACTATTCTTCCCCACAAGGAAGAAGAAAACCACTCCAGAATGGTATTCAGGAGCAAGACAGAGAGGCAATCAGGATCATCCAAATCCTGGTCCTAGAAAGTACATGCTCAGAGCCTACACACAACATGCCACAACACACACTAAGTAACTGTGCGACAGTACATGAGTGACTGTCATCCAAAAAGGAGAGTAACAGTCAAAATCATCACAGGACTGGAGAGCTACCAAGGGCCGTAAGAATCATCTGGTTTATCCTTTATTTCACAGAAAGCTCAAAACCACAGACATAACCTGTGACAGACTCACAATTCAATCCGTACTTCCCGAGTCCCCACTCAGTGTTACCTCTGTGACATACTAGTAGATGGGACAGACTAGAACCCCAGAAAAGCCCAGGAGGAAGGGTGGAAGAATTCTTTCCTCCTCCTGTGTGAAAGAGGGATGTTTATTTCAGTATTATGGAGTCATCTGGCCCTAGACTTCCCCAAGGGGAGTTCATTTCATTTTCAGTACTCAAAAAAGAATATGTGCAGAATCAGACCCAAGGAAAGGCACAGCCTCAGAACAAAAGCAAAACTTTCTTCCTTTCCATTCGTACAAAGGTTATGAATGTGTATATTGTGAGTCATATGTAGATGTATACTATTTACGAGTATATGGTATATATGTATATAAATAGAGGAGAGAATAGGAACCTATATAAACAGATTCTTTTGTCACTTTTACTGTAAACTTGAGGAAACAAAACCAGAGAGAAGAAGGGCAGAAATTTGGTGAGAACACAGATGTATAGGACATGCATTTTCAGTGGTCAATAAATGAGTTAACCAGACTGTTTTGAAAACAGAATGTAGGTATATGTGCATAGTTTTGCAAAATGATTATTTGGTTGAATTGGATGGCAAGAGAGCTACTATCCTGCCATCTGGAAAACTGGACAGCTTTTGTGTACCTACGTCAATGAGTTATTGAATCAAAACAAAGATCTTGTCCCTTAATTTCATGTTACTTTGTTTAAAAAGTTAAAACTAGTTGGGAATTTTCATTAAATTTAAATGTAGTACAATTTATATTTTTGAACTTTTAATTTAAAAATATTAGTAACTTATGCTGTGTATTAATCTGTATAAAAACATTTGAAGGAATTACCTTTCCTGTAAATTTAATGTAAACCCACATTCTCGTACACACTGCATACAACTATCTTTTTTATTATAGTCTATGTGTTTATTACAGAATCTGAAACAAGAACATACTGGCTAAATTATGCAATATAGTCATCTTAGAATTTTAACAAATCTACTTTCAAAGACCCCACAGACTCTACAATCTAAGTTACTGGAGTTTTAATGTGTACATTTTATGGCTATAATCCAAGCGAAAAGATATTCTTATAGCCTTGACCCTAGTTTATAATTTGAATCTCTACTTGAGAGAATACTTAACTGTCCACCTGGTTAAATATATTTCTCAGAATTTTTGCCCTGTTCCTGAAACCTATTTGGACTTAAATTGTGAGGACGAGAAATCACTCCCTCCCAGAAGTTTAACTACAGCTGCACAAATCAAACAGCCCTTCAGTCCTGACATGGCCCTTGTATCGCAGAGGTCCGCTGGAACGTTTCAGAAGATGGAATTCACAAACAAGCAGTTTAAAGACATGACTCACACATATTTTAATTCTTACATAAAATAAAATCTAAGTGAGAAATAACGTGTGTTTCTATTTTAAAAACTTAAATGGGAAAATATACTTACAGAAAGCATTCCCATTTATGCATTATTTAACTCTTCTAATGACTAAATATATTTATCCCAGTAAATCAGCTATAACTCAAGAACCAAACAAATTAATTTACCTTTCCTGGTGTCTTTAAAATACACTTAACTTTCTCAATTACATTCGAAACATCTCCAGAATCTTTCAACTTCTTCCTGATATCGTCTTCCAATTCTTCCCACTGAAAAGCACCTGTAACAAATTAGCACATGTTAGAGTTTGCGGATACAGGAGGGGTGAGAAAAATAAATCTCTTACTAGACATCAATATCCCCCTTTCTAGGTATCTTCTCTTAATTTTTCTTCACCAAACATATATCCTTATAATTAAAGGATATATTTAACAACTCTCACATTTTCAACAGATAAGTTTGTCTTCCTTAAGTTATTTGTCAAAATCTGACAGTCTTCCCCCTGACCAGCCAATGCCTCTCTGAGACGCCTGGCAGCTAATAAGTGCACTAACCAGAATATGAGTTACCATGACAAGTGGCCCAACACCCAAGCTCTTTCCTTCCTCAGGGAAGAATGTAGGTGTGATCTTTCCCAACTCTGAACTCAATCCTACTGAAGGAGAGCAGTGACAACCATCGGGCAGCGGGGCTCTGCAGCTAGACAGAACATGTTGGTGGGTCAGACAGACCACTCTGCAAAACCAACCCCAGGAAGGCAGCAAGATCATTTCCCGATGAGCTACATGACCACGCCACGGAAGAAAATCACCCCACCTGGCCCTTCCCACCCTCTTCTTCACCCCAGCCCACTTCCAGCTGGCCCTTCCTAGGGTCCCTTCAGTCTACTCCCAGTCTGTCAACCTCTTTTCTGCTGTGTCTTATCAAACTCCAACTATATGATCAGGGAAATTTCACCTTCTCCCCAGTGCCCCTCTCAGTTGGCCCCCAGAAGCCTCCTAACTCACCTCCCTGCTCCCTAATGACTTTTTCCCCTTGGAATCTTTCCTATTACTCAATGCTGATAAGTTTCAAAGGCATGATTCTGATTATATTTTAAGAGATTTACCCATATCCATGCCATGACTTACAGAAAATCCTAACTCCTTAAAGTATAACTCCGAAAGTATAGTGTGGGGGCACAGACAGGAGACCCAGATTCTACTCTAGCTCTGCCATGAGTATAAGCCAGGTACGTCACCTCTCTGGGTAACTTCAGATGCTTCTTAACTGTTCCCAATCCATTTCTTCTGCTGAATAGTGAGGAATGGGGAGGCCATAGAGTCCATACATATTAAACCAATGAGATCGGGCAATTGCAGCCAACCTCTATTAAGCAGAAGCAAACCTGACCAGAAGGATCAGACTACTAATCCAGAGGCTCTTGAGCTCCTTGCTGCTAAGCACTGCAGAGCTTGCTGCACTTCCTGTGTCCTGGGGAGGCGGAGCCCTGATGTGCAGCATTTGCCATTTCTGTGGTGTCAAAACTCCTACCTCGGATACAGGGATGTTTTTATGCAGTGCAGAAAAGAGCATGCTACAGAATAATTCCAAGAATGGGAGAATGCAATGCAAAGTGAGCGAGAAAGCTCATTCCCACATATTTATCTACACTGGCAGCATTTCAGTATGTGATATAAAATTCTAAGGGCCATCTGCGACAGGAAGAGCGCAAAGCTACATTCTTGAGGCTCTTACAAATATTTCAATTCCTAACTATCTGAGATCATGTGACTCAGGAATTTGTAAGCACCAGACTGTATCAAGTATTGCAGGAATGTTAACAATAGTATCCACAGAAGGATTACTCCCCGAAAACCAGGAAACTGCAGGTCTCACTTTGCCAGTACTCCTTCTGCCTGAAGCACTAGACCTTAAATACTTACACATTAAACGGTGCTCTTTGTTTATCCAATGGAAAATTCACATATAGTTGGACTACCTCGATTGTGACTATTCCTTCAAAAACTTGATCAGGAAAATAAACTGAAGTCATATACATAGGTGTAAAAACCAGACTATTAAGCAGGTCCCTCTTAAATAAAGGACTAAATGCCCGTGGTGAGACAATATATACAAGATAACAACATATATAAATATATGTATATAAATATATAAAGATAACAAGAAAGTATGTCACTTAAAAATAATTAAGATGTTCCTTGTTATTTAGTTCTTTCTTTAGAAAGTGGGGGGAGAAGGCAGGAGATAGATTTATTGTGATTTTTTAGGCTGTGTCTGCTCAGGACAAACACTTCCTGGGCATGCCAGGCCACGGGCGTCCACCTTCGTGCAGCCGGTGTTCCACCAGCAGTGGGCTCCTTTCTTCCTCGGCCCGCACACTTCCGGGAAAGCACTGTAGAGCCGTGTCTCGACACTGTGCTTCGTTCAAACTTTAAAAATGTTCCCCCAAAAGGACTGAAGAGTCTCAGAGTGTAGATTTAAATTTCTGTTCAATTTGGTTAAAAAAAAAAGAAAAAATTAAAAAAAAAAAATAACTTCCACAAACGAGGACTAGAGGGAAAAATGCAAAACCTCATAATGTTCAGATATTTTCTTTTATTGTTCGTTTGGATTTTTTTGGTACCAGGGATTGAACTCGGGTCTTTGCGGTTGCGAGGCAGGCGGAGGAACCACTGAGCTAAATCCCTGGCCCGATATTTTCTTTTAATAGTGGGATTTTAATGGTGACTTTTTTGGTTTGCCTCTCTTAACAAATTTTATGCATTTTTCACATTTTTTCTAGACTGTGTAAATACAACTTTAATATCTCCTTTAAACAGAATTATATACAACTTTTGCTGGAGTCAGAGGTTTTTATGTGTGAATAATTAAAAAGCAATGAGCAGGTAAGTGTAGAACCAGTTGTCTCCCCTTCTCCTACAGCCCCAGGCAGGGCCTGCATCTGTCATACCTCACTCCTCCTGCGTGGGCTGGGATAGATGAGGGCAGCAGAAAGGCAAAGGCTCAGAGAGGGGACCCGAGGGAAGCTCTCCACACTTTCTGCTCTCGCCCCCCTCCCAAGTTCCTAAATCCCTACCTCCTGGCTCACTTGGTTCCCCCCATGGCTAAGCATCCACCTCCCCCACGTTGGCAGGGGACCCAGGAGGGCGCCGAGAACCCCGGCTCTGCATAGCTCGGCATCAGTGGGCCTGACAGCTCACCCCACGTTGACTCTGCGCCCTACGTGAAAACAGAGCCGCTATCCTAGGCCTCCACTGAATTCCAAGCCCTCATTTGCAGGCTGTGATGGATCCGCACTTCTTCCCAGAGTATCAACCATGAAAATGTGAGATCATTCAAAACACAGAAGCACGTGCGCCAGCCCAGGCCTCCTACAGTGTCGGAAGGCCTCCTACAGTGTCGGAATGTGCACATTAACAAGATCGCCTGGTGACTTGCAGCCACTCGGATGCACTGGCCTAGGCAAGGACGAGGGGCCAAGGCCATGCCACGCACACCCCAATGCCGGCCTCCCTGTGGATGTGGCCTGATGATGGGGCCTCCCGACCGGACTCCGGTCTTGCCTGCTCTTTCCCAGGCTCCCAGCATCACCAGAGACAGCTTTCTAAAGCCTGGTGTGGGCCGGGGCAGGAGCTCAATGCAGAGCACTTGGCAAGCGTGTTCGAGGGTCTGGGTTCCGTCCCAACCCCGTCCCTGGGAAGGGGGATCCTCTAGCAAGGCTTCTAGGAGGCAGGAACAGCACCGACAGGCCCTGCCTGACTCCTCCTACAAGCCATCACTCCCCCTCTGGGCTCTGGCTGGGAAACTGCCCATGGTCTTCAGAAGAGAGCAGTTCCAAGGGCTCCATTTTCATTAAAGTGAAGTTGAGCAGAGAGCATCAGAGAGAACACAAAAGACCTTATCACAGATAACTGACTCTGGGCAATGGGCTTGGGATGCAAGAACTTTCTCCCTCCCCCCCCCTCCCTCCCTCCCCTTTTTCCCATCTACATGCATTTATTTTGCAATTTAAAAAATCACTCTCAAAGAGAAAGTCAGGCAGGTTCGGTCACCACAGCCATTTTACTGTTATCATATAAAGAAGACGTGACTGACTTCAGAGTGTTCCTGTGCCTTTGAAAGGACTGAATGGACACTGTGGGAAACTTGCTGAATAATTCATAGAATTTCAGCAGTAAAATCATTGGAAAGTCAAACACATCTTCCTCACAGTTTCTTGTGCATGTCATTAAAAATATTTTTTCTTTTAACCTGTAAACATTTTGGTTTCTCAAAATCAGTCTTAAATTCTGAACTGTGAGAGTCTAAGTTTAAACATTAAAATCTGTAGTACTAAATGAAGACCTTAAGCAGTCTGGTTTATTCCTTTGATGGTCCCCAGATACGAGAACCTGCTCACAACTGAAACTCATGGGAAACGTGTACACTGGAGCCGTGTGCTGGATGTGAGCTTATTCAAGTTTTTTCCACAGACCTACCATCACATTCCCCAATATATATATATGTAATTCCATACAAATCTGCATGCTACAACTGTACTTTTTAAAACCATAATTCAAAATTTAATAAAATTACATAACCATAGCCCAAATGAAAATGTTAATAATCTTATTTTTAACATCAACCATTCCAATGAAAACTATCCAAATACATCATTCCAAGTGGAAAAAGAAAATTGAGAGGAAGAATTTTCAGAAAACTAATATTTAGGTGATGACTCCAAAAAGTATTTTTCATCCATTCTTTTCCATTCTTATAAGGGACACTTAGATGTGAGACCATTGATTCATTTGCTAAAATGACAGATGAGACATCTATTAGTTAGAATAGTTGTCACCGAGTTTTAAAAGGACAAGAAGAAAAAATAATCAGTAATCTGAATCTTAAAAAGATAAGGATGCAGTCAGGAAAAAGAGTAAGGTCTAGGATAGTCACAGCCAGATTTAACGAAATACCCTGATCTCCAGTTTCTGAACTGAATGCAATTTCCCTCCTCAATTTCCTCCAAAGTTAAACGTCAAACTAGAGAATGAACAGCTACGTTTTAAGGTATAGACACTTGACTTCATCTTTACTTGCAAAATTTTCTTTAAACTGACAAATTTTATTTTATATTTTGGATTTTTAAAAAATAAAGTATGAATACACCTGCTCAGTAGGAGATTATCATTTTACAGATTTAAAACCAAAGCAAGTTAAGCACAGTAAGAGTACAAAAAGACGCTCCATATCATAATCATTACGAAAGTGCAAATCAAAACTACAATGAGATACTACCTAAAACCTATTAAGGTGGTGACTATCAAAAACTAGAAAATCACAGCTGTGGATGAGGATATGGAGAAACTGGAACCCCGTGCACAGAACGTGGTAGGAATGTAAAATGGTGAAGCCAGTATAAAAAAAAGAGTATTGGAAGTTCCTTAAAAAATTAAAAATACAATTACCATATGACCTATAAATTCTTCTTCTGGATATATATGAGGAAGAACTGCAAGCAAGGTCCCAAAAGGAATACATCTTTAACCATGCTAGTACCATAGCAGAATTATTCATAATAGTTTAAACACTGGAAGCAATCCAGATGTCCACAATGGATGGATGGATAATACAGTAGTCTACACATACAGTGGAATATTAGCCTTAAAATGGAAGGAAATGTGACATATACAGTAACTATGCTATGCGAAATAGGTCCAAAAAGCACAAATACTGTGTGTCTGTACTTACACAAGACACTTAAGAGTAGTCAAAATCACAGTGGATTTCGATGGTACACACCTACAATCCCAGCACTAAAGGAGGCTGAGGAGATCGAAAGTTCAAGCCCAGCCTGGCAACTTAATAGCTTAGCAAGACCCTGTCTCAAAATAAAAAATTTTAAAAGGCCTGGGGCTAAGCTCAGTGTGAAGGCTCTGGGTTCAGTCCTCAGTGCCCTCAGAAGAGCAGTCAAATCACAGAGACACAAGGCAGAACAGTGGCTGCCAGGGGCTTGTGGGAGCTACTGTTTCACGGAGACAGAGTTTCATTTTCGCAAGATAAAAAGTCACGGAGATGCCACTGTACAACAAGAATATATTTAACACAACTGGGCTGTACAATGGAAAATGGTCGGCATAGTAACATTTACATGTATTTTGCCACAATTTAAAATATTGCTTTTTTTCAGAAAAAGGCAACTACATTTGGAAGGAAGGCAGAAAACTTGGGCCACAGCGCACCCCATTTTCGCTGAGTGTGTGAACACCACGGAACAAGGTACCTGAATAAATGAAGCGCAGGATGGCCGACAGGCAAGAGCAGAAGGCCACGTCCTTGACAACCACGCGCAGCGGCGGGTTGCCGGGGCAGGCCCGGCCAGTGCCTGGCGATGCAGTCGGATCCCGGTTTACAGCGAAGAGGTCCTGGCTGGTCCGGATGATGGTGGGGTCCTGAATGTCGGCGGGACTCTTCACATTGAAAAGCAGCATGAAGACATGGCTTACGGCGCAGAGCACGATCTTGTGGGCCTCTGCCACTCCCTGCAAGTCTGGGTGGTAGAACACCACGTCCACGCACTGGCAGCAGAACAGCAAGTTATTCAGGTCAGAGTTATAATGCGAAGCTTCAGCCTTTAACACAGGCATCTTTTCTGTATCAAAAAAGAAAATTTCCCGAAAGAGTTAAAGACATATTACAGTGATCCATGCACATCCGTGTTTATAGCAACACAACTCATAATAGCTAAATCTTGGCAGTGGCCTGTATGTCCATCAACAGATGAATGGATAAAAAAAATGTGGTATTTATACACAATGGAATACTATTTAGCCATAAAAAGGGCGAATTTGAGTCATTTGTAGGAAAATGAATGCATCTTGAGACGATAATGTTAAGTGAAGTAAACCAGATGCGCAAGCTTAAATATCACATGATTTCTCTTATATGAGAAACCCAAAGCAGAAATAAAGAGCAAAATAAATGATAATAGGAAACAGGGAGATGGATATTTTGCAAACAAGACAGGGATCATGAGGTAGATGAAGAGGGAAGGGAGGGGAGGAGAAGTAGATAAAAAAAGAATTAAGGTGTGTTATGTTACATGTACGAACTCCCCGCTAGGAATGTAGACATTATGTACAGCAAACATGTACTAATATAAATTAAAATTTAAATAAAAAAGAAAATAAAAGTAATAAATTTCTTTTGAGGTCTGTAGACCCAATAATTTCAGATCTACTTTAAATACAGTAGAATATTTTTACATAATACGAGGTTGAACCATAAGAAAGGGCAAGTAGGTGACCATTTTTCACCTACAGACAACAATTTTGGTTGGTTCTTAGCCCACAGATGCAAACTAATTTTTCAGGGATTGTACAACACAGATACACACACAAATACTTATATTTTATAGCGCAAATGAAAAAACTACTAATGATATAAAGAGCAATAAAATAAGATAACATTTCTCATTATCTGTGTGCTGCAAAATAAAATTCTGCCCCAAATGCTGAACTTTAATATTTTGTAGTCATCTCTGTTTACTTCTACCAGATAAAACGTGCACACAAAGGACTGAGTAAGCAGAGAACCCAGATTCACGCTGGAAGTCCCTTCCCTGCCGGATTGGAAGAGAAGGTCAAAGGCCCGAGCTGCTCAAATCCTGCAGCTTCTCCTCGGCAGCCCTCAAGTCTTGGACTCCAACGGTTTGAAAGCTCTGTGCCCCTTTTATTTGGATCGCAGTCTTCTTCCTAGAAAAACACTGCTTCCCATAGTAGCTTTTCCTCCTCAGCACACCTGAGCAAGGTGCTGCCTAAGCTCCCTCGTTTCCTGAAGAGGACGTAACCTCCCATCCCTGGTGTGATCAGCAACACTACGAGACTCCTCCCATCAGTGTGGTCTGCACTCTCCGGGCCCGCACCACAGACCCCAACATAACTTGTGCCACCTCACTTTTCCCTGAGGCTGAGCGGAGGGAAGTGAAGGGCCACTGAAGCAATTGCCTAAATCACTGCAATTCCAAGTTCTCTAGCAAAGCTGAAAATCCTTTATTCTAAAGCAAAGCCCGGGCTATAAACAGACAATCAAGGGCTCTGGGCTCCTTGCGCTGCACCCCATCCATCCTCTCCTCTGCTGCCCTCGGGACCTTCAAAGAGCCTCGAATGAAAAGAAACATCTGAGAGCCACACGGCCCGGAGCCCAGGAGGTGTCATTACAACCAGTCAGCCACAGAGCTCTACCCAGACCGCATCACCCTGGGCCCTGGGTCATGCTTAGAGCTATGCCCATGGCTCTCCTCACTAAAGGAGCCCTGTGAGCCAGGCGTGGTGGCACATACATGTAATGCCAGCACTCTGGGAGGCCCAGGCAGGAGGATCCCAAGTTGAAGCTTAGCCTGGGCAATTCAGGGACTTAGCAAGACTGTCTCGAAATAAAAATAAAAAAGGGCTGGGGGTGTAGCTCAGTGTGAAGGCCCTAGGTTTGGTTTGTAGTACTGCCAAGCCGGGCACGCTGCCATACACCTGTACCTCCAGCACGGAAGAGAGGTTAAGGGAGGAAGATCACAAGTCTGAGTCCCATCTGGATAACGTAGTAAGAACTTGTGTCCAAATAAATAATCGTAAAGGGCTGAGTATATCTCCAGTACAAGAAGAAGAAGAAAGGAGAAAGAGAAGGAAGAAAAGGAGGGAGGAGAAGGAAGGGAAGGAGGAGAAGGAGAGACATTACTCAAGGAGGAGGAGAAGGAATAGGGAGGGGAGGAAGAAAAAGGAACCGGCCCTGTGAACATGGAGACAGCACTTGCTGCAGGGACACCTGGGGACCCGGCCACACTGCACCGAGAGCCCGGCAGGGACCCAGGGCAGCTTCCCCAGGTGCCAAAGGACACAGGCCACTTTACTTTCCCTGAGGAGCTGGTGTGCTTTCTCCCCCGATCAGCAAGAACTAGCTAGCTACATTACTTATTCGGGAACTTCTCTCCCATCTCCCAACCCAGAACTTATTTCCACCCCAGTGTTCGCTAAAATAGTCCTTGGCTCCCCTTGCATTTTGCAAACTATAAAGTTCAAACCCTATATAGTTGATGTTTTTTTTAAATCTGGAAATGACCTCCCACTCTAATTTATATTTTCCTGGTTTTTTATTTATATTCATGCATTCAACAAATACTTATCACATCCCTACTTTTTAAATATTTCCTTTTAATTGACATGTAAGAATCCTATGTATTTATGGGGTACAGTGTGACTATCCAATACATGTATCCAATGTGTAATAAACCAGGAGCTAGCATTTTTCATCTCCTAATTTCATTTTTGGTGCCTTCAAACTACTCTTCCAGTTCTTCATAGAACACATAATATGGGCTGGGGATTTAGCTCAGTGGTTCCGCCGCCTGCTTCGCAAGCACAAGATCCCAAGTTTGATCCTCAGTACCAAAAAACCCCCCAAAACCACATAATATGTTGTTGTAAATTATCGTCATCACACTGTACTATCAAGTGATTGCTTTTTCTTTTCTTTTTGTGATACTGGGGCTTGAACCCAGGGCCTCCCACATGCAAGGCAAGTGCTCTACACCCACCAGCACTTTTTAAATTTGTATTTTAAGACAGGGTCTCACTAAGTTGCTCAGGCTTGCCTCATGCCTCAACCTCCTGAGTTCCAATGCCTAACTTGGAGGCGGTGGCGGGGGGCGGGGGGGGCCTCACTGAGTAAGAATGTTGAGTGAATGGGCTCTGGGGATGCTTAAATCTGACAATGCTGTTCTAAGACCTGTGAGGAGTGAATTATAATAAACACCTACCAAAAATCTACACACCTGGTTGTTCAAGCTGCGGTGGTCTAATTCCATGAAATGAGGTGCACATTTTCCTTTTCTTCATTTTTTCACTTGTCTTCTGATTTAAGGCTTGAATCATAAAGTATTCCAACTAAAACATGAATCAAATCTGAATTAGAGTTCTAACAAACTTATATCTCTGATATGATTGCTTGTACCTCAAATCATCTTTGCCAATTGATTTTTTTTTTTTTATGTAGTGTGGGGGACTGAATCCAGGGCCTTTGCACTGAGGTAAATTCCAGCCCTTTTTTAATTTTTTAATTTTGAGACAAGGTCTTGCTAAGTTGCACAGACTGGGCTTGAACAGGTGATCCTCCTGCTTCAGCTTCACAGAGCATTGGGGCTAAAGGTACGCACCACCACACCCAGCTCTCCAATTATTTTTAACGTCAGCACCACACATTAAGAAACACTCGTAAATAATTTTTTCTAATCTTAAAAATGTATCTAAGGGAACAGGTTGTACCTTCTCTAAACACAATAAACCTACCTACTCAAGAAGGAATCATTTTCTTGAATAATCAAAAAGCCATACACTACAACTGTGTAGCTATCAATAATTTTCTCAGTGGGCAACCAATGCAGTTAATGCTAGTGAAATTCAAGGCAGAAACGGACCTGGCTTTATGTCTATGGATGTTCCTAAAAGCTAGTAAACTCACTTTCTTCTCTTGAACAAATGTCTTTGAAACCTGTCCCTTACAAATCAATAATCTTGTCCACATGCTCCAGGCCTGTGACCCCTGCAAGGCCCGTGGTAAAAACACAAATGGATGTCCACCCACATAACTAGATATTTAAATGTTGTAAATTAAGAAAGAAAACTGGTGTGTAAAAGATATTCTATACTCTTATTTTAGCAGATATATCAACATAAAGGCCTGGACAATCAGATTAAATTCTCAGACCCCCGGGAGGGTCCTGCAGCACAAGAAAGGAAGCCCTTACTACCTCTCCTCTTGGCCCTGCCCCGCCCCGTTCCCCTGGGATCTCTGTGTCCTCCAAGTAGCTCTGCACTCTCCAGCCTCTGGGCCAGAGAATTCTGGGCTCTGGGGTTTGGGAACAGAGTCACTGCACTGTCCAACAGAGCTTTGTGTGATGATGGAAATGTTGCACAACAGCTGCACTACCCAGTAAAACAATTACCACCTACACATGGCTACAGAGCACCAGAAATGTGACGAGAATGACTGAGGGACTGAATTTTATTATTTTAAATTTTATGTCAATGAATTTAAGAGTAAATAGCTACATGTAGTGGCTACCATCATGGCTGGTGCAAGTCTCAAAGGAAGCCATATCAGCTCAGGGTGGGCACATCTCCTTGGCTCCACCAATGTGTGCCCTATGGGAAGGGATTCGAGGGGATAAAGGCCAGATGGGGCTCCCTGAGGCTCCCAGAGAGGCGCCCCTACTGCCCAGGTCTGAAGGGGGTACTGCACAGCTCTGTAACTGAGCAAGCCAACCCTCACTCCCTCATCCAACACGAAGCTCTTCCTATGAGTGGTTCCTCTGAGTATGTTTGAACCACAAGATTGGGATGTGAAATCTTGTCAAAGCATGGACAGAAGAAAAAGCATTACTTTCAAATAGTAGATGGAAATGAAAGAGAAATGTTAGGGCCCACAGATTCAGGTTGCCAAGTTCACTGAGCTGTATGAATATTACTGCCCTGTGACGTCATAAGTTTGTGTAAGAAAACATGCACAATGTGGACCAGTGAAGTGCCACCCAGACATTCCAAAATATCAAAATATTCTAAAATACAAGACAATAGAAAATATTTCTATTTGGAGAGAAGATGTACAATTTTACCCTGTTAAAGTCTTTGCTACTTACTCTCATCTTATTTCCCTAGGTCAGCGATGGCGAACCTTTTATAGAGCTTTCAATGAGAACAAACAGCCCACCAAGGCACACATGCCGTAGGTTCGCCACCACTGCTCTAGGTTGAGACTAATCATGCTTTTAAAACTAAAGTTCTAACTGATGTTCTAGAAAACTAAAGCGATAAAGAGCCAGCCTCGCCAATGACTTTATATGCAACAGAAATCTCCACTCACCACGCCTCCAAAATATTTTCCTATATAGAAGTCATCCAGGCTGTGTAGTTCAAGATAGGTCGCCCCTAGTTCCTTCGCCAGCTGGATTCCTTCTGTTGTACTGACACAGCTCCCCCGGTCAGAGGTGCACAGTGGACAGGTACAAGGTAATTCTTCTGAGAAAATGAATTTGAAAAGAAAGAGCCTTGAAATTGAACAAGAAACGCATATGCATAGAAAACAGGATCACTGAACAGCAAATTAAGGGATCAAACTAGAACCACTGTGTGACCAGAGTGTCAATGATAATAGAAAGGTCCCTAAGTAAATAACCATTCATTGCAAGGAAAATAAATACGCGTTCATTGCAAGGAAAATAAAGAGCATTTTAGAAAATAGAAGAATTTAACCCAGGTATGGTGATGCACGCCTGTAATCCCAGCACTCGGGAGGCTGAGGCAGGAGGATGGCTGAGAGTTTGAGGCCAGCCTGGGCTACACAGGGAGCTCAAGACCAGCCTGAAGTACATAGCAAAATGCTGTCCCAGAAAGAGAGAGAGAGAGAGAGAGAGAGAGAGAGAGAGAGAGAGAGCACGTGAGAGAGAGCACAGAGTTTAATAATAGGTGAATGGATATTACCAAACTGGTATAGCAATTAGACTAACTGCCAGTAATGTTAGACCTGATGCTTTTTATACAACCTTGAAACCCTGAACATCATTTCTCAACGGTTGGAAAAGAATTTAAATTTAGTAATTTTATGGCCCATTGAAAAATAGTGGGCTGGGTTTTTTGGTAATAAACTTCTTGTATTCACCAAGTTTGAATCAATCTTATACTCTTGTTTTTGCTTCTCCCTGATACCAGGCTCGAACACAGGACCTTGAGCTTCCCAGGCAGGCATGGTACCACTGAGCTACATCCCTGGCCTATACTCTTTTGTTAACAGAACCTTCAGTTGGACCTGATTTTCAAGGTTGCAAACTGCCATTCTCTTTGTAAATTTCATATTAAGTACATTTTTATTAATTTGAACACTCTAACCATCTGACTCTGAAGCATTCAACTTCATAGACAAAATTCAATCACTTTTTATCTTAAGATTACAACATTAAAACCTGAAGGAAAAAGAAGTATTTACTCAAAAAATAAATTGTCCACAGATTTGTGGTTGCACCATATACAGATTTACAGCTGGGAACATGCAAACAAGCCTATCTCTAAGAACAGTCCTTACTAAGGCTAACAATATATATTCAACTCCATATTCATCAGCTCACTTTGGTTTTTTTTTCATGACCACATCAGATGTGTCACTGTTCAAAAGGCAGCCAAGTCAAAGGACAGGAAAGTCATTTCTAGACACGTTCTCGGCTGCAGGCTGGCTTCCTGGAATTGCGCCCTGAGACAAGGAATGGTGTGCACAACGGCTGAGCTGGCTGAGCTGGGAACAACTCTTCTCAGGCCTGAGGGACGTTGGTCTGGGTAGAGGGAAACCTAAACTGCAATGCAGTTGTACCACAGCCATGGCGGACCCTGCAGGGTGCCGGAACTCAGCTGGCCTGCTGAGAATCAGTTGCTCCTCTTCTGGCGAAAGGCAGCTGGGCCTTTGCACACTATTCCTAAACTGACTAGAAATTAGCTGAGGGCTGCATCAGGAAGGAGCATAACCTTGGGCAAGGCAGCTCCATCAGCAGAGAATAATGCCTGGAAAGGGACCCAGCTGTGTGCCATCAGCCAACCAGCTTGGACTGAGGGAGGGAGTACGGTGTCCCTGAGAGGACATTTGGAGCAACTCCTCGCAGATGCACAACCAACTTCCTGACCACTGGCCACATACAGATGGAATACATACAAGGGATGACCAATATATATGGTAAGTGTTCAAACTTTTTAAATTTACTATAGTAAAAGACATGTGACATTACTATTAATCCCCCTCAAATCCTCCCCCTCACTTCAAACACACTTATCCCTTCTTCTTGCCACTTTCGGAAGCAGTTCTGGAAGTTCTTTGTCATGAATTTTTATAAGATGTGATAAAAAATTTGGTGAATGCTGCTGCCGAGCGCCACCCAACAGAAGGGAGGGCTCACAGAAACATTACGTATGTTCTCTTCCACTTTATTCCCCAGATATGGCACTATGTGACTTCTGGCTCTTCCCCAAAGTCAAAATGACCATGAACAGTAAACATTTTCAATCAACTGAGAAAACTCAGGGGCAGCCATGACAGCACAACTAGAAATAATCACAGAAGAGGACTGCCACTTCAAAAAGTGGCAAGAACGATGTGATAAGTGGATTGAAGCAAAGGAGAGTATTATGAGGGAAATTAATGGCAATGTGTCTTTTATTATAAAAATTTTTTTAATTTAACATGCATGGGATTTTTTTATCACAGCATGTACATCTACAGATGAGGTGTATACATACTAAGGATATTTAGTGTACTATATGCTATGTATATTGGTGAAGCAGGTGTACACATGCACCTACACAGCGACACATGCAATTTAGATAATTTTACCATCACTGAAAGTATTTTCGAACTCAAAACCCATGTTATGTACAGCCTCACTTTAGAGAGAACTGTGCCTCTGGGAGGTTATGCGACTTGTCCAAGTCTCCTGGTGAGTTAGAGATAGAGAAATGATTAATTGTTACTTGCTCCACCTGATAAAGTGACATTGGAAGATAGGATAAATGAGGCATGGAGGTCCACGCCCTCAATCCCAGGGACTTGAGAGACCGAGGCAGGAGAATTCCAAGTTCTAGGCCAGTCTGGACAACTTAGCAAGGCCCAGTCTCAAAAACTTTTTTTAAAAAAGGGGCAGGGTTTGCTGAAGATGTAGCTCAGTGTTCTCTGGGTTCAAGCCCCAGTACTGGAAGAGAAAAAAAGATAGGGTAAAATTTAGTCTGAGTAAAGAATTATCGGTTCCAAAGATACAGTGATGTTAAACATTAAGTGCAGGTTCTTTAATTATCCACACATTGTAATCTGAGTTTTTGCTTTTATTTTTCCCAAATCATTTTATGTTTGGACCAAGGTTTTCATGAAGAATTCAGTCTGTCTTAACAAATAACACATTGGCATTTTGCATTTGTACAAAGCCTTCATAAACGATGCCTTTGCCTTCCTGAAGACAGAGAGAGGCCTTCTCTTGTCTACAAAAGTCTCTTTATGTTTGTGGAATCTGGTGGGCCGGCAGATCATCCTGTTAAACTTTATTTCTGGATGAAAATCAAATGAAAAATGAAGTGAACACAATATAAAATAATGGCACAAACAATCTTAAATGAAGGGGAAAATACAACTAATTTTAGGTTTAAGTGGGTCTCCATTGTGCGTAGTGTGATAGTGTGAACAGCTTCCTGTACACAGTCCTCCTTATGCCCAATCCTTCTATCTCCTCTATGTCACTGAGATATTCTTCTGGTTCACTCACCAAAAAGGAAAATGCCTAATCACCATATAAGGTTACCTAGTTACCACTTGCCTACCAACCTTTTTAATCTGTATTTTTAAAAATTAGATCATCTTTGGTAATGCTGGGGATTAAAACCCAGGGCCTCACACATGTTAAGCAAGCACTCAACCAGTAAACTATACCTGCAGCCCTAAAATATTATTTTTAAAAACCTTCATAGGCTTTTGTGCCTAGTTATTAGTTATTTTGTGATTCTCTTCTAAACCACTCCTATATTTTTTCATATCAATCAGCTATTAATCTAAAATTCTAAATGAAAGGCTGACAAGTTATTACAGCAGGAGAACCAACAAAACACTCTAGATTAAATAAGTTATATTACGCATTTTATGAAGAACAATCAGAAGATCCAAAATAATTTCAAATTTTGATATCTTATGGTCACTGTAGCTCTGGAAATCAGAGTGTTACACTTCTAGGGAATCTTATACTCTTTTTGTTTCATGTTGTCTTTTTTTATCTTTTTATTCCTCCAAGACAGGGCCTCATTATGTAGTTCAGGCTCGTCTTGATCACATTTGGTAGCCCAGGCTGGCCTCAAATTTGCAGCAATCCTCCTGCTTCAGCCTCCCAAGTGCTGGGATCACAGGTGTGCACCACCATGCCTGACATCATGTTATCTTTCAAGATGTACCATAATAAAGTATCTTCTTTTTCTTTAATGCAAAAACAATAGAACTATAACATTCAAATGAATGCTATTGTGTTTAAAGTAGTGTGGCTTCAGGAACCTGTAGGATGATTCTTAAAATGTTCCACTGTTTGAAATTTTTAGAAATTCCTTTCAAAAATTCTAACCTGGTAATGTACCAGGCTTTATCAGAACTACAAACATAACTGAAAGACTGAATGCCCATCTTCACCCAGGCATGGTAGCGCACACCTATAATCCCAGCACTCAGGAGACTGAGGCAGGAGGATCACCTTGAGTTTGAGGCCAGCTAGGGCTACACAGTGAGTTTAAGGGCAGCCTGAACTGCGTAATGAGCCTCTATCTCAAAAAATTAAATTAAATTAAAATTAAAATTAAAGAAGAGAAAAGAAGAGAAAAGAGGCTATGAATACCTTCTAGGCACATTCTGGGGGAAAAAAATCTTTTAAAGAGATATTTAATATTAGTAAAAGCCAAAAAATGTATTCAGAGCCAAGTAGAATGAAGATATCCACACAGTCAAACTTGTCAAAAAATATGTAACAAAGGAGATGAGACTGACTGTATTTGCTGACCAAGTTCTAAAAAGAGTTCCAAGAGAATCACCAGAAGTGCACCTAGCACGGTTTCATGTATCACCAGGTTTAGGAGTGAGGCTGACAATAAACATTCTTGAGCTGAACAGCAGGTTTCACTCTGTAATTATTTTGTAATCATATCTTATGCAGTAAATTAATTTTATCTTGGCAGTAAAATTGATTTTTTTACTTAGATTATTCATAAACCATTCATTCATTTATTAAACAGAAGTTTACTGAACATCTACCATGCATCGAGCACTAGAGACATATAGATAGAAATATAAAAGAAACTCATAGTCAACTAAGCCAAGATAATCATGATTTCACATAATATAATAACTGCTAAAATAAAGGTGCACAACGTTAATGTGTATTAGTCAAGTTTCTCATTGCTGGGACATAATATACAATACCCACTATGTAAAGAAGGAAAGGTTTAATTTATCTCATGGT